CTCTCTAGTCTCTCTCTGGTCTCTCCCTGGTCTCTCTCTGGTCTCTCTCTGGTCTCTCTCTGGTCTCTCTCTGGTCTCTGGTCTCTCCCTGGTCTCTCTCTGGTCTCTCGGTTTCTCTCTCCTCACACACATTGCTCACACCACTCTTGTTACTCAGGTGCAGGTCACTACGGGACTCTTCCCAGCACTAAGACCATGAGCCACCTCCGGGAGACCATGGCCACGCCCTCACCCCTGCCCTTACCCCCTTCCCCCTCCCACAACTCCATATACAGCACCCTGCCCCCCCCCAGACTGCAGGGGGCGCCCAACCCCAGCAGCCCGCACTTCGAGCTGGCGCCCCCCCTGGTGAGAGACGGCACGGCGACACTGGGTCGACACAAGACGCTCTCACTCACGGTACAGTGTGAGACTAGTGTGTGCTGCAGGTTTTCATTCCAACCAAGCAGGAGCAGAGAGCAGACTCCTCCCATTTCCTCAAGTCTCGTCATAACCTGGAGACCTGAGGAAATGGGTAGAGGCTGGTCTCTCTCTCTCTCTCTCGCTGGTGTCTCTCTCTCTCTGGTCTCTCTCTCTCCTCTCACTGATCTCTCTCTCTTGCTGGTCTCTCTCTCTCCTCTCGCTGGTCTCTCTCTCTCTCTCTCGCTGGTCTCTCTCTCTCTCTCTCTCTCTCTAATAATTGAGAATGTTTGTGTAATCATGGTGTTTTTTTCCCTCATAATAATTGTAACTTTTGTGCAGCCGGGGTTCCCTGAACGCACCGTGACCGGAGTGACGCCCCACAACATCACGTCTCAGTCTCTGCAGGGAAAAACGGTAAGAGTCCTGGTCTCTCTCCTCTGCAGCTGTCCTGGGGAGAGATGGGTTCGTGTCCTGGTCTCTCTGGTCTCTCTCTGGTCTCTCTCTGGTCTCTCTCTGGTCTCTCTCTGGTCTATCTCTGGTCTATCTCTGGTCTCTCTCTGGTCTCTCTCTGGTCTCTCTCTGGTCTCTCTCTGGTCTCTCTCTGGTCTCTGGTCTCTCTCTGGTCTCTGGTCTCTCTCTGGTCTCTGGTCTCTCTCTGGTCTCTGCTCGCTCCCTGGTCTCTGGCTTCACCTGTGAATCGGCTTCCATTCTCTACATGGTCCAGTTTCCTCAGACACTTTCCAACTGAGGAATGAGAGATTTGAGGAGGAGCTCATTCTAAAGATGTTTGTGCTTTGGGCCCAGCCTGTCTGCTTATGGTCTGGTCTCTCTCTCTTTGGTCTCTCTCTGGTTGCTGTTTCCAGTATCTCTCTGGTCTGTCCCTCTGGTCTCTCTGGTCTCTCTCTCTGGTCACTCTCTGGTCACTCTCTGGTCACTCTCTGGTCACTCTCTGGTCTCTCTGGTCTCTCTGGTCTCTCTCTGGTCTCTCTCTGGTCTCTCTCTGGTCTCTCTCTGGTCTCTCTCTGGTCTCTCTCTGGTCTCTCCTTGATCTTTCTGGTCTCTCTCTGATCTCTCTCTGGTCTCTCTCTGGTCTCTCTCTGGTCTCTCTCTGGTCTCTCTCTCTGGTCACTCTGGTCTCTCTCTGGTCACTCTGGTCTCTCTCTGGTCTCTCGCTGGTCTCTCTTTGGTCTCTCTGGTCTCTCTCATGTCTCTCTGGTCTCTCTCTGGTCTCTTTCTGGTCTCTCTCTGGTCTCTGGTCCCTCTTTGCTCATTTCTTCAGGGGTAATGCTGCAGAATCCTGGATGTTTGTGCTTTGGTCCCAGTCTGTGCTGTTGGCTCTGAGGTGGTTGATGGTAGTAGCTAACGCGATGGTCCACTCATGTCCACATCGTATCTGCTCTGTTGTAACTGTACGGACGGCTGTGTCTAGTCTGAGGAGCTGACGTTGCTGCTCATCAAACTTCGCCGGCAGCAGGCGGAGCTCAGCAGTCTGCGAGAACACACTCTCTCTCAGCTGAGGGCCCTGGGCTCCGAGGGGCCCAACGCCAAGGTCAGCCCTGCTCTGGTGTGTGCGCTGGTGCCTGCCCTGGTGTGTGCGCTGGTATCTGCTCTGCTGTCTGCACTGGTGTCTGCTCTACTCTGCTGTCTGCTCTGCTGTCTACTCTGCTCTGCGCTGCTATCTGCTCTGCTGTCTACTCTGCTCTGCTGTCTGCTCTGCTGTCTGCTCTGCTGTCTGCTCTGCTCTGCTGTCTGCTCTGCTGTCTGCTCTGCTGTCTGCTCTGCTGTCTGTTCTGCTGTCTGCTCTGCTGTCTGCTCTGCTGTCTGCTCTGCTCTGCTCTGCTGTCTGCTCTGCTCTGCTGTCTGCTCTGCTGTCTGCTCTGCTGTCTGCTCTGCTCTGCTGTCTACTCTGCTCTGCTGTCCGCTCTGCTGTCTACTCTGCGCTGCTCTCTGCTCTGGTGTCTGCTTTGCTGTCTGCTCTGCTGTCTGCTCTGCTGTCTGCCCTGCTGTCTGCCCTGCTGTCTACTCTGCTCTGCTGTCTGCTCTGCTGTCTGCTCTGCTGTTTGCTCTGCTCTGCTGTCTGCTCTGATGTCTGCTCTGCTGTCTGCTCTGCTGTCTACTCTGCTCTGCGCTGCTGTCTGCTCTGCTCAGCTGTCTGCTCTGCTGTCTACTCTGCTGTCTGCTCTGCTGTCTGCTCTGCTGTTTGCTCTGCTGTCTGCTCTGATGTTTGCTCTGCTGTCTGCTCTGCTGTCTGCTCTGCTCTGCTGTCTGCTCTGCTGTCTGCCCTGCTGTCTGCTCTACTGTCTGCTCTGCTGTCTGCCCTGCTGTCTGCTCTGCTCTGCTGTCTACTCTGCTGTCTGCTCTGCTGTCTGCTCTGCTCTGCTGTCTGCTCTTCTGTCTGCCCTGCTGTCTGCTCTGCTCTCTACACTGCTGTCTGCTCTGCTGTCTGCTCTGCTGTCTGCTCTGCTGTCTGCTCTGCTGTCTGCTCTGCTGTCTGCTCTGCTCTGCTCTGCTGTCTGCTCTGCTCTGCTGTCTGCTCTGCTGTCTGCTCTGCTGTCTGCTCTGCTCTGCTGTCTGCGCTGCTGTCTACTCTGCTGTCTGCTCTGCTGTCTGCTCTGCTCTGCTGTCTGCATGCTCAGGCTTCCCCACGTGTGCTGAGGAGATGGTGGAGAGAAGCATTTGGTTGAACAAATGTAAATCCCTGTCTTCTACATAAACAAGCTGGTTTAGAGGAGCGTGTGGGTAACTTGTGAGGGTGACCAGGTTTTTAGATATACTCCTGACTCCGGCTGGATAATGTGCTGTTCATCATATAACCTAACAGTTTCTTTTTTTAACCTCTTAAGCTCGCAAGCCCCCGGCAAACGAGAAAAAAAATACATCTGCTGGCAATAGCAGATGTATTTTGAACTTTATAAGCCACAAGCTATATATCATTTTAAAGCTTATTTTCTCAGCTATATTTATATATGATATGTGTAAACGAAATCAGACTTTGCATTAAAAAGATATAACGCATAATATGGGCACAAAATAAATCATGTTTGTATACGTTTTTTACCTTTCGTCTTCTGCTGCTCCAACAAATTAGACTTTCCCCATCCTTGCTTAGTCTCTTTCTCTCCGTAAGTCTTCATTGAAAAAGAATATCCACTTGTGTTTCCCAAAGTATAATCCATTCTTCAGAAATAATCTATTTTTCTGTTGCAAAAAAACGCTCCGAAAAATGTTCAGGCTTCTCTTTCACATTTCACCAAGTTTGAGCTTTGTTTACCCCCACAAACATCATATCCACGTGTTCCTTGAGTCCTTAGTTTCAAAAAGAGAGGTTCCATGAAAAGATAGGAGCAGTTTTCAGTCCGCAGGACCCTTGTGAAAAAGACAAACCGCATCAATTTGCACAGGGTCCGTGTCTAAGTAGCCAATAAAAAGAGCTTTCTTTTGATGGGTGGGACTTGTAGGAACTCTTCATTTTCACAGTAAAAGCGTGCGTAAAGACGCTGTTAGTACTGCTGCGCATATTTTATATGCATTTACTCTACTAAAAAAATAATTTTGAAAAAATGTAAAAGAAAATCACACAGATTTGTAACTTATAAGTAGCAAAACTAAAACATATGCTTTTTATGATGGTGAAATGTTAGCAGTTTGTCACAATTTGGCACACATTTTGCCAAATTGGTTCAGAATGGCACTACTAGAGAAACTGCATAAAAACTATGAAACTTAAAAGTCTGAAACTTTACACAGTTGTTGTCAATAACACAATGAACAAATTGGCGTTGAAAATGTTCTTCTTCCAATGAAGTAGGCTTTTTTAGGGCATTTATACATTGAGTTTTTTAGGCGAGGCTAAAAAAACTGTTTTTTTCCCAAAACTTCAAAGGATGCAGAGTGAAATAGGAATGACATACATTATTTCAGTGTATATTTAAATAAACTAGAAGGGCCTAGCTTTAAAATGATGCATCACACAAGCATGTGAGATGTAAGATGTGTTTTTAAAAAAGCAAAGACATTTGGGTATGCCAAACTTTTTGCACGAGCCAAAACAGATGTAGGAGTTTAAGAGCCATAAGAAAAGTTTTGTGACTTGTGTGCACATGCAATGATCTCTCTCTGGTCTCTCTCTCTCTGGTCTCTCTCTGGTCTCTCTCTCTCTGGTCTCTCTCTCTGGTCTCTCTTCAGCAGTGGTGAGTTCAGGTGTGAGAGGGATTTTACAGCCTTAAAACATACAGCTGCTACTTCACTCAGATTTCTTGTGAGCTGTTGGATAGCAGTGTTTCTGGTCACCCCATAATTACCTAATGGAGCTAGCATACATGACGGGGGATACTGACGCTACTGTGTGTGCATGTGAAGTGTGTGCATGTGGCGTGTGTGCATGGTCCTCCCGGAAGAAAGGGCCACATTCCTGTAACCTCAAGGTGGTTGATCATAGTTGGATCTGGCAGCGATGTGGCCACTTTCCTCTGTGTTTGTGGAGCTGCCTTTAGAGCTGGGCGTGCTCTAAAGCTCTAAAGTGAGCTCTAAAGGGAGCTTTAAAGAGAGCTCTAAAGCTAGAGCTATAGCTGGTGGGGGAGGCGCTTGCATGAGTGTGCATGTCTGTGATCCAGCCTCTCCCCAGAACCACTGCTTTAGAGTTCAGAAGTGGCGTTGTGGTGACAGGTGTGTGATGTCACCGTCTGGGGGAAGTGTCAGTGGAGAGTCTGGGCGTCTGTAATGACTGCCCACACCACCCGACAACGGATAAAGTGGAAGAAAATGGATAAATAATTTACATTGATTCATATTTTCTGAAACGTCCAAACACTAACTATTGTAAGTGTTTACTACAGTTACTATTACTAACTTTTGTAAGTGCTTTGTAAAAGGTTCTCCCAGGAAGCTGCATTAGCCTAGCATGCTTCACGTTAGCTTAGCATTAGCTTAGCCTAAGAGCACACAAGGAGCACACAAAATATACAATACAAGAAGCTGTAAATGCCTTATAAAAACAGCAGTAGACCTAAAAAAAAAGCTCCAGAATGATGTTTGTCCCCATCGGGGACCAGTTGGTGTGGACCAGCAGAGGCTGGTGCTGCTTAATGACCACATCATGTTTGGGCGAGACTTCCGCCTTCGTTAGAATCTTGATGGTGACGTGTCCCAGATTAGCTGTTGTTACAGCGGACTGCCACGCCCCTTAGTCTGACTCCACCCCTCAGTCTGATCACGCCCCCTCAGTCTGGCCACGCCCCCTCAGTCTGACCACACCCCCTCAGTCTGACCATGCCCCCTCAGTCTGACCACGCCCCCTGCTGTGGTCCAGTGTCCTGGATCATCACCTATAGAGAAGTGAGTCCCAAGTGTGAGCCAAGGTGAAGGCCCCCCTCATCTCTGTTGATGGTCAGACTGAGGGGGCATGTCTCTGTTGATGGTCCTGCCCCCCGTCTCTGTTGATGGTCCCACTTCCTGAGCTCCTCTTGTCCCCAGCACTGGCTTCTTTTCTCTTTTTGTCTAAATAAAAGATCCTTATAAGCCTTAAACATAACACATCATGGACTTTTTGCGTTCAGGTTGGTCTAGTGTGGTCTTTGTGTAACGTTTGTGTGACGCTTGTGTGGTGTTTGTGTGACGTTTGTGTGGTGTTTGTGGGACGTTTGCGTGGTGTTTGTGTGACGTTTGTGTGACGTTTGTGTGACGCTTGTGTGGTGTTTGTGTGACGTTTGTGTGACACTTGTGTGGTGTTTGTCTGACGTTTGTGTGACGCTTGTGTGACGCTTGTGTGATGCTTGTGTGGTCTTTGTGTGACGTTTGTGTGACGTTTGTGTTGTCTTTGTGTGACGTTTGTGTGACATTTGTGTGGTGTTTGTGTGACGTTTGTGTGGTGTTTGTGTGATGCTTGTGTGATGCTTGTGTGATGCCTGTGTGACGATTGTGGAGGTCTCACTCTCTCTCTCTTCGTCCTCTGCGGCTCTGAGCAGACTGACGTCCTCTCGCACCATCTGCAGAGGAGCCTGCGGTACCTAGAACGTCAGGTGAGACGCAGCCGTTACATCGGTGGGTACGCGACAGCAGTTTGAGACGCTGCTCCAGTCGTGGAAAAGAGATCCCACATGTGCACAGTGCATTCTTCCCACACAAGCTCAACTTGGCCCAGCTCTACTCGGGTCTACTCTGCCTGGTTGTGTTTCCATTACACTTTTGTATCTGGTACCGTATCCTAGCAACATACCCACAACAAGCCAGTGTCCGGGGAAGTGTCTCGGTAACCATGGCAGCACTCTGGCCAATCTCTGTCAGTTAGTTAGTACCAGCTAGAGTAGGGTAGGGCTGGTGGAAACAGGGCTGTAGACTGCCATAAGCTGCATATCTTCATATTGGGGCCCTTTTCTGGCCCAAGGTTCTGGCCCAGTTCATTTCAGTCTTCCCCCGGAGTAGGGCCAGTGCCTGTCACCAAAGTACCTCACTGTTTGCTAGCAGCAGTTAGCTGCTTTATTTCACAGCCTCATTGACTGACTGGTGAAGTGATGCTAAGGCCTCTTTTGCTAACGTTCTCTTTCTCTCACATCAGAGACATGTTGTGTTTTTGACATATAATTCTGGAGGTTTTTGTTCCCACTGCTGTGATGTTATAAAAAGAAGATGTTTTAATGAAATCCCGCCCCTTTGAAACGATGGCGATGGTCAGTGTCGAACTTATTGAGAGGCGCTGAGCTAGCATTGTAGCACTGAGCTACCGGTGCATGGCTAGCGGCGCAGAGCTAGCGGCGCAGAGCTAGCGGCGCAGAGCTAGCGGCGCAGAGCTAGCGGCGCAGAGATAGCGGCGCAGAGATAGCGGCGCAGAGATAGCGTCACTGCGCGGCTTTCACGCGCTCTTGTTTCTGTTCACGCTGCGATAGAAAAAGGACAACGAGCCTCTGATCTACATGATCCACGCCAGGATCGAGAAGTCTGCCCCGAGACCGCAGCTCTACCAGCACGTAAGCCCCGCCCCCATGTCCATATAGAGCCGCCCCCATGTTCATATAGCCCCACCCCCATGTCCATATAGACCCGCCCCCATGTCCACATAGCCCCTCCCCCATGTCCATATAGCCCCGCCCCCATGTCCATATAGACCCACCCCCATGTCCATATAGCCACACCCCATGTCCATATAGCCCCACCCCCATGTCCATATAGCCCCGCCCACATATCCATATAGACCCGCCCCCATGTCCATATAGACCCGCCCCCATGTTCATATAGCCCCACCCCCATGTCCATATAGACCCGGCCCCATGTCCGCTTAGACCCACCCCCAATCAGCTCAATGGGTCACTATTTGACTATTCGGGCTGAGAGCTGATTGGCTGAATGAGACAGAGAAAAACATGCATAAGAAAACGAGTGATGGAAGCAGACTGTTATCGAGCTCAGGAGATAGTGACATAGATTCAATTAAATTAAATGTATTTTTTGGTTACTTGGGTTTGAAAGTCACATACCCCAGCTTTATAAAGTCCAAAGTTCTGGGCCCGGATGGTTCCTCGGGTCTCATCCTTCGATCTCATCCCGGTCGGTGTCCATCGTGCCTGAATCGTGGATCACTGTGGTTGTTCATATCCAAAGCTCCTCCGGTCACATGGTCAGTTATAATGGTGTAAAATTCCAGTGTTGTCTTGTCTTTCAGATCAGCCCAGAGGTCGTCAAGAGCCTGGCCAGCGACACGGGGGACCCCGATATCGATGTGAGCTCTTCTCCATTAAATTCAGTGTATTTGTGCATTGCCCTGAATCACAACAGCAGCAGTCACGAGGGCGGTGCTGTCGATTCCTTCACAGCAGATTAGTAAATCGAAGCGTTAATGGTATAATAAACACTTTGGAGCCTTTGGTCCAAAGGGAACGAGATGACCACTGTCCAGAAAGGTTCATAAATGTCCTGGGTCATCACAGTCCTTAGACCCTCAAAGAACCGGCAAAGAACCACTCAAAGACCCAGTGGGACATTCTTTTAAAAACCGTGGGGAGACCTAGGACCAGGCCCGTTAGCAGGGGGGTGCGAGGCCCTGTGCAAGGCCCTGCCCTGACACCTTCTTCCCAGATCTGAGGAAAGTTTTCCCTGTTATAATCTTTGACATGAATTCAGCACCGCCTCACGCGGAGCGTGAAGAGATCAGCACGCCGCAGCTATGTGTCCTCGCTCCAATGCAGCGCCGGGCGCGCGCACACATACACACACCCACACACACATACACACGCACACGCACACACACATACACGTTTTTGTTACCTAGTAACATAGACATGATCTTTTTTACTGGGACTACTTTAAGTAATACAAAACAGTCAATAGAAAACAAACAACTCTTTTAAAGGAATTTTATTTGTGATTTTTTTTTTGAATTGCAGTGATTCTATTTTTGACATAGAATTTAATGCCACTCCATGTCCGATGTCTAAGGTCATCTGGTGAGGCATTAATGCAGGCCAGGCAGTCAGACTGCTATGTGAAGCTATGTGCTTTCTAAGTTTGGTTGAGGATAGCATCTCTGGATGCACCGCACCACATTCTTTGGCCATCTGCCGTAGGGAGTCTGACCCCCTGATGTGGGTGTCTGCGCCCGGGCGGGAGAAGAAGTACGGGTTATGGTCAGAGATGGAACAGGCCCTTCTGTTCTCCACCAGCACCTCCATCCAAGCAATCATTTCAGGAGTCAAAAGAACCGGCACTTTCCGACTTCTTTTCCCTTTAATTTCAATTCGTTGAAAATGCTGACACATCTTTTTCTCAAGTTTGGACAGTCCCAGAGCAATGTCAGAATGGATCCCAGTCTTACTTCTTAAAGTAAACGCTGTCAGTGGCATCTTTGAAACCTCACCTTCCCTTCTTTGATTGAAAATAATGACCTCACAAAGAGTCAAAACTGCCAGTTTAGACCAATGCTTAGAGGTTAGCTCACTTATTAGGCTTTGCACATATTCAGGTCGACATACCTCGATATGTGCATGCATGGCTCTAACGTCCTCAGTCAGGACCGGAGTGTTCCACTTGGCTTGCCGGAGGGTCTGTAGGGCAGCAGAAGAAACACAGACGTCCCACCTCTTCTCAAAAAGCAGCCGGCTTCGTTGGAGGTTTTTAATAAATGGTTTATCAACACAATGCTCCATTTTTGAGTCACATTCAAGAATATCTGCTAGCTTTCTGAGGCTATGGCCGAGTTTGAGGGCCAAGGATGGAGTCTTGTATTGATTTGTTTCCTCATCATATCCAGCCACAGACCTGACTGCGTCAATCACATGGTTGAAGTTAAAGAAATCCTTCATTGTTCTCAGTTTCCCTGCCGTTTTTGCTTCGTTAATTAACCTACCGACTTCTCTCATTTTCTGCCTAATGTAATCATGCTTAGTCTTATCATGCCCATGTTTTAAGTACAGGTGCTCTCCGAGTCTCAGAATCCCCTTTTCTGCTTTGACAACACCCGTGACCTCATCCTGGTGCATTGCCGAAATTAAAGACCACGGCTTTTTGCTGATGCCCTCCGGTACAGGCTGAGCTAGGGAGCAGAGGGACTGGACCCTACTTCTACCTGGTTTAGCCTGGGCATCTTTCTGTGAAAGCCGGCACATGGCCACATGCCTCCACAGCGACTTTCGCTTAAGCAATGCACCACAGTCTATACAGTGCAAAAACTGACTGGATTTAACTGGGGAATTTGGCTGCTTAGCTGGGACTAAAGTTCCAATGCCGGCCTTTAAAACCTCAAAATTGTGCTCACGGTTTCCACTATTCCTGATCAAATCAAACGTTTACGTGCTTTAGATTTCACTGGCTACGTCACTTTCATTTCCATGTTTCCTAGACAAATGACGGGACATTTTGTGGCAGGACATTGAACAGTAGAGGCAGAAGTGCCTCTTGCTGTAAACTCTCTTCCTATTTTTCTTCTTTTGCAGCTGCATGATAACAATCTTATTTGCCTTTGGTTCGTCACTTTCAGAGTCTTGAAGAAAAGTCTTTTTGATTTTTCTTTTTCCATACTTTTTTACATGTTTCTTCTTGACGGTTAAATCGTCAGAATCTGAGTCGACTTCATCAATTAGGGACTCTTGACTAAGCTGCACAAACAACAAATAATTTGTAATAATTCTATATAACAATTTGAAGTCATAACTTGTAGTCAGCACTTACCAGTGGTTTGTAAGTGTAGGGTAATAAAGTGGGTATATGCCTTAGATGCACAGTGCATTTGGATACATTGCATATCTTAAACATATCTACACCGTCGTAACTATTCCTTATTGGAAATTCCCTCATACAGTGCCTTGCGAAAGTATTCGGCCCCCTTGAACCTTTCAACATTTTGCCACATTTCAGGCTTCAAACATAAAGATATAAAAAAATTATTTTTTGTCATGAATCAACAACAAGTGGGACACAATCGTGAAGTGGAACGAAATTTATTGGATAATTTAAACTTTTTTAACAAATAAAAAACTGAAAAGTGGGGCGTGCAATATTATTCATTCCCTTTACTTTCAGTGCAGCAAACTCACTCCAGAAGTTCAGTGAGGATCTTTGAATGATCCAATGTTGTCCTAAATGACTGATGATGATAAATAGAATGCACCTGTGTGTAATCAAGTCTCCGTATAAATGCACCTGCTCTTTGATAGTCTCAGGGTTCTGTTTAAAGCGCAGAGAGAACCATGAAGACAAAGGACCACACCAGGCAGGTCCGAGATACTGTTGTGGAGAAGTTTAAAGCCGGATTTGGATACAAAAAGATTTCCCAAGCTTTAAACATCTCAAGGAGCACTGTGCAAGCAATTATATTGAAATGGAAGGAGTATCGGACCACTGCAAATCTACCAAGACCTGGCCGTCCCATGAGATGAAAGTTTGGAGGGACGGCCGGGTCTTGGTAGAGTTTCGTTCGGGCCTGAAAAATCAAGCCCGACCCGGCCCGAGCCCGCTAATACTAAGCCCGAGCCCGTATAAGCCCGACCAATTAAGGTTGTATAATAGGCCCGAGCCCAACAGAAGCCCGACACATCTGATTTCCCTTGTTGTACGCACTCACCTTCCAATTGCAAGTTTAGCCACTTCTGAATGTGTTTTGTACGTCCACCTGATCCATTTCTGTTAATGTTCCGTGTGTTCGCTGTTGACCGTAGCATTCAACAGGAAAAACAGGGATGATGCGTTCACGGCTTGCTGCGGCTGTAGGACACGCCGGTTACGGTGATAAATATATCAACTTTTTTAATAACTTGTTGTCAATCAACGGACATTATTATTAATAAATACATATATGCATATCATTATGTATGAAAATCATAAATAATAAAAAATATTGATTAAAAAAAATAAAAAAAGGAAAAATAAAAAGGAGCCCGAGCCCGGAACGGCCCGACTGCTGAGCGCTGAAGTGAGGCCCAAGCCCGGCCCGTACTCGGGTCGGGCTCGGGCCTGCTCGGGCTCGGGCTGAAAAGCGAAACTCTAGGTCTTGGTAGATCTGCAGTGGTCTGATACTCCTTCCATTTCAATATAATTGCTTGCACAGAGATTTAGCTGTTTATTTACCAAACAAAAAACCTCAGAGCATAAGAAACTGTGTGAGTCACAATTCAAAGAATGTGCACAATAACCCAAAAGCTTTTAGTAAAAGTTTCTTTGTTGGTGGACACGTGGTCCGGCTTTGATCCCAGAAAAGTTCCTTTGTTGTTGTCTCCTAGTATACGGCTGTGTAGCGTCGCGTCCCTTCCCGCTTGTTGTTGTGCAGGGAAGAAAGCAGTTGATTAAGCAAGTTCAGGGAGATGAAACAAGCCTGTTTGAGCTCATACGCGCGGATCCAGCCGCGGGCACAGAACGTGAGGGCCGAAACCCAGGAGAGACGAAAAGCCGAGGAGAGCAAGAAGGCCAAAAATTCAAGAGAGCGCGCTCTGCATTCAGACTGGTTTTGTCTCCAGTCTTAGGGGCGGGTACGTTGTAGTCACTTCCTGTTTCTGGCTTTTCACAACACAGGAACTTCTGGGCATGAGACATATTAAACACAATTGTTTAAAGCACAAACACTTCAACAGACATCGTTGTTGTTCAATAACAATTTGCAATTCAATAAAGATTAATGACAACAGAGATGCGGGTTTACATTTTAGTTGCATATACAGCACACTTAAGTTTGGAATGTGTGTAGTCCTTTGTTGCCGCTAGGGGGCACTAAAATCACAGTCTGAGAGTCCTGGTCTGGTAGATGGAACAGCAGCAACAACGATTTGGATTCTCATCCTACATAAGCGTGCGCTTCAGTGTGCTCCTCCATGATTTCTTGCAGCCTAATGAACCACACACTTGCACCTTTTGTAGCCTGACACCTGACTTCCTCTGTTGTGCTGCTCCATGATTGGCTCCAGCCTGCTGGACTGAAATTGCCCCAGTGTGCCCCTCCTTGATATCCCGCATTCCACCACCAGGGTTCCGACACATAACACACTTTCTTCAGGAAAGTAAACCTCCAGGGGTCCTTTCCATATTTTTGCAGAGACTGCATAAGGACCGTTAGAAAAGCATTACCCATTGATTATTAAGCTTGGACCAGTAGCGTCCGGTGTTCGGGCCCCACCACGTAAAACCAGTCCCCATGACGTGAGTGGAATCTCAGGTTATGGAACCCACCAGGAGTTGAAAACAAGTGCATGCACACACACACACACACACGCACACACACACACACACACACACACACACACACACACACACACACACACGCACACGCACTGTTACGGCGCATGGCATTGCGATATTGATTGCACTCTTTTTAGCTGACATGGCTCTTTCGTCCTGTGGCTAAATGGCAGCAACTCAAAAGATTGAACTAAAAGGAGTTTTCTACTTCTTCTTTTTCTTCTTTTTCTTCTTCTAATACTTAGATTACGGCAAAATGGCTACGAGCCGGAGTCAATATTTGTTGTATTTTATTTCTCATCAATATCGTTTTTGCCATTCCTCCACACACTCTGACCACAACACGCTCCTCCTCCACACACTCTGACCACAATGCACTCCTCCTCCACACACTCTGACCACAACACGCTCCTCCTCCACACACTCTGACCACAATGCACTCCTCCTCCACACACTCTGACCACAACACGCTCCTCCTCCACACACTCTGACCACAACACGCTCCTCCTCCACACACTCTGACAACAATACGCTCCTCCTCCTCCTCACACTCTGACCACAATACGCTCCTCCTCCACACACTCTGACCACAATACGCTCCTCCTCCTCCTCCACACACTCTGACCACAATACGCTCCTCCTCCTCCTCCTCCACACACTCTGACCACAATACGCTCCTCCTCCTCCTCCACACACTCTGACCACAATACGCTCCTCCTCCTCCTCCTCCTCCTCCTCACACACTCTGACCACAATACGCTCCTCCTCCTCTTCCTCCTCCTCCACACACTCTGACCACAATACGCTCCTCCTCCACACACTTTGACCACAATACTCTCCTCCACACACTATGACCACAATACGCTCCTCCTCCTCCTCCTCCACACACTCTGACCGCAATACGCTCCTCCTCCTCCTCCACACACTCTGACCACAATACGCTCCTCCTCCTCCTCCTCCTCCTCCACACACTCTGACCACAATACGCTCCTCTTTCTCCTCCACACACTCTGGACCACAATCCTCTTGCTCCTCCACACACTCTGACCACAATACGCTCCTCCTCCTCTTCCTCCTCCACACACTCTGACCACAATACGCTCCTCCTCCACACACTTTGACCACAATACTCTCCTCCACACACTATGACCACAATACGCTCCTCCTCCTCTTCCTCCTCCTCACACTCTGACCACAATACGCTCCTCCTCCACACACTCTGACCACAATGCACTCCTCCTCCACACACTCTGACCACAACACGCTCCTCCTCCACACACTCTGATCACAACACGCTCCTCCTCCACACACTCTGACCACAATACGCTCCTCCTCCACACACTCTGACCACAACACGCTCCTCCTCCTCTTCCTCCTCCACACACTCTGACCACAATACGCTCCTCCTCCACACACTCCACGCTCCTCCTCCACACACTCTGACCACAATACGCTCCTCCTCCTCCTCCACACACTCTGACCACAATACGCTCCTCCTCCTCCTCTTCACACTCTGACCACAATACGCTCCTCCTCCTCCTCCACACACTCTGACCACAATGTTTTTTATGCCCAAAATCCACTACACTCACAGTGGGTGTTAAAGATGGACATACAGTGTTTACTAATGCTTTTTTAATATGTTTTTGATGTGGACATTCGGGACTAAATTTCTCCTGTGTGAGATCAATAAAGTCTATCTTATACATTAGCAATAACAGCGCTCAACCTGTCTCGCTGCTCCTCCTCCTCTGCTCGCACACCTGTCTCGCTCCTCCTCCTCCTCCTCCTCCTCTGCTCACACACCTGTCTCGCTCCTCCACCTCCTCTGCTCACACACCTGTCTCGCCCCTCCTCCTCCTCCTCTGCTCACACACCTGTCTCGCTCCTCCTCCTCCTCTGCTTACACACCTGTCTCGCCCCTCCTCCTCCTCCGCTCACACACCAGTCTCGCTCCTCCTCCTCTGCTCACACACCTGTCTCGCTCCTCCTCCTCCTCCTCTGCTCACACACCTGTCTCGCTCCTCCTCCTCCTCTGCTCACACACCTGTCTCACTCCTCCTCCTCCTCTGCTCACACACCAGTCTCACTCCTCCTCCTCCTCCTCTGCTCACACACCTGTCTCACTCCCTCCTCCTCCTCTGCTCACACACCTGTCTCACTCCTCCTCCTCCTCTGCTCACACACCTGTCTCGCCCTCCACCTCCTCTGCTCACACACCTGTCTCGCGCCTCCTCCTCCTCTGCTCACACACCTGTCTCGCTCCTCCTCTGCTCACACACCTGTCTTGCTCCCCCTCCTCCTCTGCTCACACACCTGTCTTGCTCCTCCTCTGCTCACACACCTGTCTCGCTCCTCCTCTTCCTCCTCTGCTCACACACCTGTCTCGCTTCTCCACCTCCTCTGCTCCAACACCTGTCTCGCTCCTCTTCCTCCTCTGCTCACACACCTGTCTCGCTCCTCTTCCTCCTCTGCTCACACACCTGTCTCGCTCTTCCTCCTCCTCTGCTCACACACCTGTCTCGTTCCTCCTCCTCCTCTGCTCACTCACCTCTCTCCTCCTCCTCTTCCTCCTCTGCTCACACACCTCTCTCCTTCTCCTCTCACAGAAGACGTGAGTATCCATCTCTCCGTTCACTGGGCTCCCGATAGTTTCTTCGTTCTTCACTCAGACACTTTATCTGACAGCTCCGTAAAGTTTTTCCGGAGGACCCGCTGCGTACATAGCTGCCCTCGCGCCTGCTTGTTTACAAATCGCTTTCGGTGAAAATTTGACTTTACTTGTAATAATGTACTTTTGAACAAAAAAATCAAGGAGGTCCAAAGAAAGGGGCCTCGGGGTCCGAACTTGGACCGCAGTCCGCCCTTTGGGGACCCTTGAACTTGTGTATTTAATTTTTTTTTTAAGAAAAAGGAAGATTGCGAGGCCCTGTGCGATGGCACAGGTCGCACAGCCCCTCCAACGGGCCTGCCCAGGACTGAGGCTGTAGGTCCAGGACTGAGGCTGTAGGTCCAGGACTGAGGCTGTAGACCCAGGACTGAGACTGTAGACCCAGGACTGAGGCTGTAGACCCAGGACTGAGGCTGTGACCCAGGACTGAGACTGTGACCCAGGACTGAGGCTATAGACCCAGGACTGAGGCTGTAGACCCAGGACTGAGGCTGTAGGCCCAGGACTGAGGCTTTAGACCCAGGACTGAGGCTGTAGGCCCAGGACTGAGGCTGTAGACCCAGGGTAGAACGTGGGTGTGGTGTGTGCAGGCCCAGCTGAGCCGGTTGTGTGAACAGGACAAAGTGGTGAAGACTCAGGAGGAGAAGCTTCAGCAGCTGCACAGAGAGAAGGTACGGAAGCTGTGAAAGGCTCTTTAAAGCTGAGGTACCTAACTTTCAACTTTCATACTACGATAAAACCAACTAAAACAGTTTGGTCTCAGCACTAGTTTTCACATGTGGACCAACCTCACTCAGCCAATCAGCTCTCAGCCAATCAGCTCTCAGCCATTCAGCTCTCAGCCAATCAGCTCTCAGCCCACATTGACATGTTGTGATTTTTACAGTATAAGTAAGTAACCCAAGTTGGCCAGAAGAGAAAGAGCGAGAGAGAGGACAGGAGCTAGAGAGAGCAGATATAGAGGACAGGAGAGAGAGAGGGAGAGAAAGAGAGAGAGAGAGAAGATAGAGAGCGAGAGAGAGAGAGCAGATAGACAGAGAGAGAGAGAGCAGATAGAGAGAGAGAGAGCAAATAGAGAGAGAGAGAGAGAGTAGATAGAGGACAGGAGAGAGAGAGAGGGGAAGGAGAACTGTGGAGACGAGATAGAGGATTTGACAGAGGTGAGGAAAAGGGGAGGATAGAACAACAGAGAGGGGAGGAGAGAACAGTGAGAGAGGGTAGAAGAGAAGAGAGGATAGAGAGGAGAGGGGGAGGAGAGAAGAGAGGATAGAGAGGAGAGGGGAGGAACAGGGGAGCATAGAAGAGAGGATAGAGAGGAGAGGGGGAACAGAGGAGGAGAGGATAGAGAGGAGAGGGGGGAACAGAGGAGGAGAGGATAGAGAGGAGAGGGGGGAACAGAGGAGGAGAGAATAGAGAGGACAGGGGGGAACAGAGGAGGAGAGGATAGAGAGGAGAGGGGGGAACAGAGGAAATAAATGTGTGGATCTTGTATTGTGACATTATTATGAAACAAAAAAGTTTCTCTCCACAGCACACGCTGGAGACCGCGCTCCTGTCGGCCTGTCAGGAGCTGAGCCAGGGGCGGAGTCAGGGGCGGAGTCAGGAGCTTAGCGAGACCCTCCCCTCGCAGAGCGCACAGAGCCTTCTGCAGCAGAGGGACGTCCTGCAGGGGGGGCTACTGAGCACCTGCAGAGAGCTCAACAGAGTAACAGCGGTGAGTGAGGCATGGGGTCAAGAAGAGACCTGAGGATGTGTTTCACTCCACACACGCTGATCTGACCCCCACCCCTGGCCCTTCTTTCTAACTGCTCCTTTTTCAATATTGTGATGATGCTATAATCAGGGGAGCACATAACTTCTGCATCCTCCGTAACCGCAGCTCTCTGAGCAACGGTGTCGTAACATGTGAACCCTAACCGTAACTCGAGCAGAAACTTAGGAAAGAGCCTCAGCCACAGCGTCCTCGGGCTGAAAGAGCCACCCCCAGTATAACCTCAGCCACAGCGTCCTCAGCTGAAAGAGCCCCCCCCCCCCCCCCCCCCCACAGTATAATCACAGTATCACAGTATAATCAGAGTATAATCTTAGCCACAGCGTCCTCGGGCTGAAAGAGCCCCCGCCCCCAGTATAACCTCAGCCACAGCATCCTCGGGCTGAAAGAGCCCCCACACCAGTATAACCTCAGCCACAGCGTCCTCGGGCTGAAAGAGCCCCCCCCCCCCCCCCCCCCCGTATAACCTCAGCCACAGCATCCTCGGGCTGAATATATATATATATATAAACAGAAATTATCTATGATTATCAGAAACAGAAATGGTCTATTATTATCTTTTGACACTTACCATAGTTTCCATGAGAGATGTTTCAGCTGCAGCACAAAGTGAAACTATGGGCACCTTGGGATGTGCTTATGTCACATGGACCTACGAGACCCTGTTTGTTAAATATTCATTATAACCAGGGCTGGACCGGGACCAAACAACGGCGCAGCCATATTCTTTTCATGTTTTCTTTCTTTACGGTTATTCATACAGTATGTGGAAGCACTGTGGAGGATCAGGATGTCTCTGGTTTCAACAATGGGCCACATTACTCGGCCATCGGTCCAACAGTACGCTGCCCGTCACCCTTCGGTTCACCCGGCGTTTCACCCGGCGTTTCCCCCTGGCGGTTCACCCGGCGGCCAGTCCAGGCCTGATTATTAGTGGTTCTCACTGTTTTTCCTCCTGTGTCTCAGGAGCTGCAACTCTCTAAACAGGAGTTCCTGCGACTGGAGCGGGACGTGGACCAGGCCAAGTCCAGGCTCCTGCAGCAGCTGGAGGCCCTGGGGAGTCCACAGGTGAGACCCAGGACCTTCGACAGTCCACATACATTCAGTAGATTTCATCTTTGAAAACATTTCTTCAAACTTTGGAACAACCAACTTTACTACCGGGCGGCACGGTGGCTGAGTGGATAGCACTCTCGCCTCTCAGCAAGAAGGTCCTGGGTTCGAATCCCGGTCGGACCAGGGCCTTTCTGAGTGGAGTTTGCATGTTCTCCCCGTGTCTGCGTAGGTTTCCTCCGGGTACTCCGGTTTCCCCTACCACTAAAAATATGTACAATAGGTCTGGCATGCGCCTTGTGTACTGGCGACCCCGCTCCCATCTCTGTGCGGAGTGAGAGACAAATGCCCAAAAATTAACAATTGTAAACCGCTTTGAGACTCAGATCTGCAGTGAAAAGGCGGTATATAAATAAAGATTACTTACTTACTCTTATTTCAAACACAGATAAAGCAAATGTACTTGTTCTTCTGACCCCAATTCGGCTTCGGCCACATGCACATAATGCACTTAATGCACATAATGCACATAATACACATAATGCAAATAATGCACATTATGCACATAATGCACATAATTCACATAATGCACATATTGCACATAATGCACATATTCAAATAATGCACATAATGCAAATAATGCACATAATGCACATAATGCACATAATGCACATATTGCACATAATGCACATAATGCACATATTGCACATATTGCACATAATGCAAATAATGCACATAATGCACATATTGCACCTAATCCAAGCGGGTGTGTATGCGTGCGTGCGTGCGTTTGTGTGTGTGTGTGCACAGACGGAGCCTCCCAGTCAGAGACACATCCAGATCCAGAAGGAGCTGTGGAGGATCCAGGACGTGATGGAGGCTCTGGCCAAGAACAAGCCCCACAGTGACGGTGAGTGGGTTCTACCTGACACCAGACTCTGCCGCTGACCACTTCCCCTCCTAATAATACACCCTCTCTGCTCACAGACGGGCCGCCGTTCCCCAGCTCCAAGCCCCTCTCCAGCATTTCCAAAAACGAGGTAAGACCAACACACACTGCGCAGGGACTGCCCAGAGTCGGGACTAAACATGGGGCAGCGCTAACATCTGGAGCAGTCTTCCTGAAAATATGAGACAGGCTTCTACTCTGACGATGTTCAAATCCCAGTGTGTTTATCTGTGCATACAAAGTTGTTTTTTTGACCCTTTGCGTTTCCTTATGAACTGTGCTACACAAATAAATCTATTATCAGTTAAGTTTAGCTCCGACCATGTGACCGCGTGTTCTGTTGACAGACGCCCGGGCCCCTGCTGGAGCCCGCCCCCCCTCGCCCGCCCTTACCCCTGCCCCACCACTATCCCCTCCCCCCAAGCCGCCCCGAGGACCGTGCCGCCACCCCCCGCTGCAGCGCCAACCCCAGCGTAAGATCTCCACGTCCCCGTCACCCACGTCCCCGTCACCCACGTGCCCATACCCACGTGCACATGCCCACGCAACCATGCCCGCATGCCCACGTGCACATGCCCATCCAGCAGTGGCGAGAAAAAGTATTCATACCTCATACATTTTCTCTGCATTTTGTCACGCCCCGACCGCAATGTTTTTGTTTGTTTGTGTGTGAAAGACACAACAATGGGAAAAAACAGCAGTTCCAATGTCTGTCATGACAACATTGGAAACATACTTCAAACATATTTCATTACAAATATATCTGTGTATTCAAAGGGTTAGTGTTGTTGAATGTTTGCAAGCTTGAGTTTTGGGGGTGAAATATTATTGGACATTTTCATCGCTTACAGAAAAATGTATCTTGTCACGTTCATTTTTGTGAATCTTGCCCATTCGCATGATCCACCCCCGTCTGTCCGTGTGTAGTCTCTCTGTCCACAGAATGATCCACCCCTGTCTGTCCGTGTGTAGCCTCTCTGTCCACAGCATGATCCACCCCCGTCTGTCCGTGTGTAGCCTCTCTGTCCACAGCATGATCCACCCCCTTCTGTCCGTGTGTAGTCTCTCTGTCCACAGCATGATCCACCCCCGTCTGTCCATGTGTAGCCTCTCTGTCCACAGCATGATCCACCCCCGTCTGTCTGTGTGTAGTCTCTCTGTCCACAGCATGACCCACCCCCGTCTGTCCGTGTGTAGCCTCTGTCCACAGCATGATCCACCCCCGTCTGTCCGTGTGTAGTCTCTCTGTCCACAGCATGATCCACCCCCGTCTGTCCGTGTGTAGTCACTCTGTCCACAGCATGATCCACCCCCGTCTGTCCGTGTGTAGTCTCTGTCCACAGCATGATCCACCCCGTCTGTCCGTGTGTAGTCTCTCTGTCCACAGCATGATCCACGCCCATCTGTCCGTGTGTAGTTTCTCTGTCCACAGCATGATCCATCCCGTCTGTCCGTGTGTAGCCTCTCTGTCCACAGCATGATCCACCCCCGTCTGTCCACAGCATGATCCACCCCCGTCTGTCTGTGTGTAGCCTGTCTGTCCACAGCATGATCCACCCCCGTCTGTCCGTGTGTAGCCTATGTCCACAGCACGATCCACCCCCATCTGTCCGTGTGTAGTCTCTCTGACCCTCTGTCTGCCGCAGGGACCGGACTACAGACTGTACAAGAGCGAGCCTGAGCTGACCACGGTTAAGGAGGAGGAGTCTGACGAGCCGCACCAAGAGGACCGCGGGGCCCCAGAGCGCGGGGCCCCTGATCGCGGGGCCCCAGAGCGCAAAGAAGTCCCCGTCAGTAAAGGTGTGTAGATGGATACTTTCCTGATCCCGCAGAAACAAACAAACAGTGAGTCACAGCAGCAGAGGAGGTCAGGCCCTGCCCACCTCCACATCACTAAAGATTCTGCTGGTCTTATTTAACGCCTGATCCCGTCAGACCTCTCAAGCTAAGCAGGGCAGGACTCGGTTAGTACTGTGATGGGAGACCTCAGGGAACAACAGGTCCATGAAAGTGCAGTATGAAGCCGATGCATATAAAACGCACTCTATCTCTCCTCTCACTCTCTGTCTCTCTCTCACTCTCACTCCCAAATGCAAACTAAAGAATCATTTGTTCCGTGTCTCCCCAGTCGGCCCCTGTCCCGTGGGCATCGTCCCCCCCAGAACCAAGAGCAGCCTCAGTGAGACCAGCTCCATCCCGTCATACGTCACTCTGAGGAAGGGCAAGAAGCCGGAGCCCAGAGCGGTACGTCCTCAGCTGAGAGAGGGGGGGGGGGGGGGGGGGGAGTGGGGGAGTAAGTAAGGGGGTAATTTTTGGGCACTTGTCCTCTCACTCCACACAGAGATGGGAGCAGGGTCGAACAGGAGGCGCATGCCAGACCTATTGTACATATTTTTAGGGGTAGGGGAAACCGGAGTACCCGGAGGAAACCTACGCAAACACGGGGAGAACATACAAACTCCACTCAGAAAGGCCCTGGTCCGACCGGGATTCGAACCCAGGACCTTCTTGCTGAGAGGCGAGAGTGCTATCCACTCAGCCACCATGCTGCCGGGAGAGAGAGGGGGGGGGAGAGAAGAGGGAGAGAAGAGAGAGGAGGGGGGGGGGAGAAGAGAGAGAGAGCGAGGGGGCAGTGAAGCGCAAGAGGGGGGAGAGAATAGGGAGAGAGAGGGAGGAGAGAGGGGGGAGAGAGAGGGGGGGGGAGAAGAGAGAGGGCGGAAAAGACAGAGGGTGTTTACTGTCTGCTGTGGGTAGTCTTGCACAGTTATTCCAATGTGGTTTCACTGCAAACAGCAAATACACTGAATCTGAATCTGAGAGAGGAGGGAGAGATGAGAGAGAGAGATGAGAGAGAGAGTAGGGAGAGAGAGAGAGGAGGGAGAGATGAGAGAGAGGAGGGAGAGAGAAACAGATAAGAGAGAGAGGAGGGAGAGATGAGAGAGAAAGACAGATAAGAGAGAGAGAGGAGGGAGAGATGAGAGAGAGAGTAGGGAGAGAGAGAGAGAGAGAGGAGGGAGAGAGAGAGACAGATAAGAGAGAGAAAGGAGGGAGAGATGAGAGAGAAAGACAGACAAGAGAGAGAGAGGAGTGAGAGAGAGAGTAGGGAGAGAGAGAGGAGGGAGAGAGAGAGGAGGGAGAGATTAGAGAGAGTAGGGAGAGAGAGAGCCAGATAAGAGAGAGAGAGGAGGGAGAGATGAGAGAGAAAGAAAGATAAGAGAGAGAGAGAGGAGGGAGAGATGAGAGTATAGGGAGAGAGAGAGACAGATAAGAGAGCGAGAGGAGGGGGTGATGAGAGGAGAGCAAGGAGGCAGACACGTTCTCAGTTACAAAGAGTGAGAAGGCACGTCACACACACACCCGACATACACACCCGACATACCTTATTTACACACAAAGTCAGGTACCCCAGCTTTAACTGTGCCTGTGCTGATGCAGGAGCGGCCCCACAGTGCTCTGGAGCAGGCGGGGGGCCGCACACGCATGAGCGTGGAGGAGCAGCTGGAGAGGATCCGGAGGAACCAGGAGGCGTGCACTCTGAGGAGGACCAGGCTGTCGCGCTCCTCCTCCTTCACCCGCGAGCAGAGCCCCTCAGCGGGCCCCTCAGCGGGCCCCCAGCAGGTCTGGCCCCTCAGGTGTTATAGTAGGAGGATTTTAGTGTCTCTTGTCATCACGAGCTTGTTTAAATCCTTCTCTTTTCTATAAATCCACACTTTTGTGCAACAAACTCTGGTCTCTCTCTCTCTCTGGTCTCTCTCTCTTGTGTCTCTCTCTCTGGTTTCTCTCTCTCTCTCTGGTGCCTCTCTCTCTCTGTTCTCTCTCTCTCTGGTCTCTCTCGCTCTCTGGTGTCTCTCTCTCTGGTCTTTCTCTCTCTCTGGTCTCTCTGGTCTCTCTCTCTCTCTCTCTGGTCTCTCGCGCTCTCTGGTCTCTCTCTCTGGTCTCTCTCTCTCTCTGGTCTCTCTCTCTGGTGTATCTGTCTCTGGTCTCTCTCTCTGGTCTCTCTTTAGTCTCTCTCTCTGGTGTCTCTCTCCCTCTCTGGTCTCTCTCTGGTGTCTCTCTCTCTCTGGTCTCTTTCTCTCTGGTCTCTCTCTCCCTCTCTGGTCTCTTTCTCTGGTCTCTCTCTCTCTGGTGTCTCTCTCTGGTCTCTCTCTCTCTCTAGTCTCTCTCTCTCTGGTTTCTCTCTCCCTCTCTGGTCTCTCTCTCTGGTCTCTCTCTCTGGTGTCTCTCTCTCTGGTCTCTTTCTCTCTGGTCTCTTTCTCTCTGGTCTCTCTCTCCCTCTCTGGTCTCTCTCTCTGGTATCTCTCTCTCTGGTCTCTCTCTCTCTAGTCTCTCTCTCTCTGGTGTCTCTCCCTCTCTGGTCTCTCTCTCTCTGGTGTCTCTCTCTGGTCTCTCTCTCCCTCTCTGGTCTCTCTCTTTCTGGTCTCTCTCTCTCTCTCTGGTCTCTCTTATGTATGATTGGTGTGTGAACTTGCAGGTGGGATCACAGTGTGCTGACCCCTGTGGGCTGGAGGCGGCACTGCAGCGTATGAAGGACATGAGTGCGTCTCTGTCTGACGGAGGGGCCTCAGCGCAGAAGGTGAGGCGCTCTCTCTCTCTGGTCTCTCGCTGGTCTCCATCTGGTCTTTCTCTCTCTGGTCTCTCTCTCTCTCTCTGTGTTGAAACCACGTTAGCACAAATTGTTGCTCTGTCTGACCTCTGCTCTGTTCTCTGGACCCAGGTGGAAGACCGGGACTGCTCCAGGACTCGAGTCGAGGACCGGGACTGCTCCAGGACTCAGGTCGAGGACCGGGACTGCTCCAGGACTGAGGCTGAGAAACTCAGAGACAGCGAGGAGACAGAGGTACGACTGTGAGAACAGGGAAAAAGTCAGACTTTGGTGAAATGTTTTGTCAGGACACACATTGTTTATCGGCTGTTTAGTTTTAAGGTGGCGCCGAGACGTGGCGTGGTGGGAGGAGCTCTGGTGTGCACTATCCACAGGGTGAACATTTATGATCTATGGATGGACACAAACTTTTGGTTCACTCGGTGTTAGCCTTTTAACCCTTTAAGCGCCAAAGTCGCAATATTGCGACAAGCAACATTGCTCACTTAAACAGGCTGTATCTAAAAATGTGGTGCAGAATCTTGTTAATACTTTTCACCAGGGGTTAGTGGACATGTGTGCCTGTAATATGAGCAACATTTGTGGGTGTGGTTATATTGAAAGTTTTTGAGTAAATTGAGTTCGTAAAACACCTGCGGCGCAGCGGCGCGGAGGCGAAGCAGCAGCGGTAGAGCTGAGAGGAGCGAGAGCAGAGCAGAGGGAGAGAGTGTTTTTTATTTACTCACGAGGTCTTCAGTACCAGAGAAGTACTTGGTCTGGTACTGGCTCACTCAGATTCAGAGGAGGAAGACACGCAGGTGTCCAGTGAAGCAGACACGGACATTATTGGTGACGGGGAGACCGCGCCATATAGTCCACAATCAGCCCCTGTACAGCGGCTGCTTGTCCTCCGTGTGGCCGTGGTAGAAGCATTCTGTGAACGCCAAGCAGGGGCCGTGGTGGAGGGGACAGGGGGATCATAACACCGGGCATGTGGGAGAAAGTAGTGGGGATAGACATCCACGGGGAACACGGGAGACGCGGGAGAGCCGCGGGAAAAAAACACATCGCTAATTGCGTTCACTGGCTTTACCAGCAGCGATGATGAGGATGAAGACAGTTCTTGAGAGAAAGTAATCCACAAAAGTGGATCAGAAGTGTTGAAGAGCCTGTTGTATGTTGTTGAGACGATCTGACAAGTTCTGAGCCCATTCATTTCATCTCTCTGTTTCTAAACGGTAAATCCTGGAGCCTCATTTCCACTGAGAAAAATAGTAAGCCCACTACTTCTCTGAAAGGGAAATATTGAAACCAATCTCGAGATTTTATGACTGTAAACTATAAAGAGTGCTGTCTTGATCACTGAAGGTCTTTGAAAATAATACAATTCCATATGGCTGCGAACCAGTGCTAAAACATTATCTATTATCTGAATCAGGGAATTTATTTCTATCCCAAATTCATTTCATACTAAAGATATTTCACATTGACTGTTTATAGTATTCCCTGATCTCAAATAACTCCCAAGCTACAGCTTTTTGAAGTCTTTATACAATAATTAACATTTTCCAAAATGGCCACCACCTTGATGACGTCACAATATGCAAATTAGATGACGAATCAACTTCCATCCCAAAGTTTGGTTCAAACTGAAGATATTTCTAATTTACAGTATGCCTTTATCTCAAACCATTTTAAAGTTATAGCCTTTTGAAATCTTGAAATCAAAATTGTATATTTTCTTGAAAAAACTCTGGCGCCTAAAGGGTTAAGTTATTCCAATCTAGTGTTACTCATTCATTTATGTACCTGTGTCCTGTCTGGTCTGTGCAGGAGTGCGAACGGCAGACGGCGGTGATCTTGGACCTGCCTCAGACCCAGAAAGTGGTGGACCTGCCTCAGACCCAGAAGGTGGTGGACCTGCCTCAGACCCTGGACCTGCCTCAGACCCAGAAGGTGGTGGACCTGCCTCAGACCCTGGGCCTACCTCAGACCCTGGACCTGCCTCAGACCCTGGACCTGCCTCAGACCCTGGACCTGCCTCAGACCCTGGACCTGCCTCAGACCCTGGACCTGCCTCAGGCCCTGAAGGTGGTGGAGCTGCAGCCGTTTGAAGACCTCAGCTCGGCCACCTCTCCTTCAGACCACAGGTGCCACACTTCCTGGTCGTCTCTTTCACTCACTGACTCCCGGGCTGTTTTCAGGACCTTTCCATCCAGGCGTCTAGACCATTTGTTACGACCAATTTTAGTTGGTTACTATGTCCCATCAATTGGTCTAATTATACGTTTATTTGAGAACTATTCCAATCTCTGGTCTCTCTCTCACTAGTCTCCCTCACTGGACTCTCCCTCTCTGGCCTCTCTCTCCGGTCTCTCTCTCTCACTCTAGAGGGGTAGGGTAGGATATTAAACGGTGGGAAAGAGAGTGATGAGGAAACACTGTTATTAGGCCGAGCCAATACGTAGTATTGGGGAGGCCTATTGTTATTCGTTGGTTTCATATTATTCTTCCTTTTTTCCGCCACTTCAATTCAAACCCTGAAGACATGCACGAAAGTCTACACATGGGGGGTCTAAAACGACCGGTTCGGCGAAACATTTGATAAAATGGACGTTTCGAGATTGTCCGACAAAAGGCGAATCAATAGCGCCCCCTTCAAAATTTGCCATTTCTATTGGAGGCAGGAATGCATATTTTGGAGTAGGTACACAAAATTCGGATGAGTGATAGATCTCTATGAGACGAGCATAAAAGCCGGTCTAAGCCATGGATCTATTATAATAACTGGATAGGGTATTACTAGCTTGTAGCTGAATAACTCATGTGCTCGGAGGATTCTCGCGGTACTGCAGACTGAACCAGACTTAATTCACGTGGGCTACCCAGAAATTTTCCCCATAGAACTCAATGCATATTAAAACAGCTCAACCTCAGCTAACAGAGAACCTTCAGCTTTCATAAAGGTCGGATTTTGTGGGGATTTTAGTGTCCCTTGTCATCCTGAACTTTTTTTCTTCTTAAATCCTTTGGTTTTGTTTAAATCCACACTTTACTGCCACAAACTCTGCTCGTCTGGCTCTTGCTCTAACTCCCGCTCTGATGAACTGCTCTGATTGGTCAGAGCGCAGCCGAGCCCCTCTGTGCACGTGCATGAGACCCGGTGTGGGGGGGTCTAAAACGACCGGTTCGGCAAAAAATTTGATAAAACGAACGTTTCGAGATTGACCGACAAACGGCAACACGTTAGCGCCCCCTGGGCATGTCAAATGTTCAAAGCCTATGGGAGCCAGGCATGCATATTTTGGAGTAGGTACATGAAATTCAGATCAGTAATAGATCTCTATGAGACGAGCATAAAACTCTCTCTGGGCCTCACTCTGGGACCAACAGGAAGTCGGCCATGATCATTTATAACTTCGAACTACTCCCTGGTTTTTCATCACACAGAGTTCTACCATGGCATTTCCCAATCTGGACGGATTGAAGTTATACAATCATTAATAAAAAGTTAGAAATTCTTCACCGTCTTCGTCCCTCGCCATGGCGAATAAGGCTTTCGTTTTGGCCATTTTCGCTGAGCCCTGAGGGCCACAAACTCAGACCTACAGAGCTGAGACTCACATCAGTAATATTAGGTTATGGCCTGAACGCAATGACACTAAAATCATTCGCCCAATATGAGCTCTTTAGCGCCACCTGTCGGAAACTAATAGGGCACTAGTGCTCGGATCGGCCCGAAAATCGCTGAGTGTAATGTCTGGACCGAGACGAGCAAAAGATTACATTACAAAAAAGTTGTAAGTCCCTCACCTGACCACTGGGGGCGCCGGAAAGTGAATGAATTAGCTTTTTGGGGCAAAATGTTTGTCAGATGTGGCTAAAAATGAATTCACAAATACAGCGTATGAGTCTGAACACAACGATATGCAACACACAACTGTGAGTGCAACAGCACCACCTACAGGCAGTTCAAGGTGTCGCATTTTTGGCTTCGTACTAGTCCCTGGATTTTCATCGCACAGACTTCTACCATGTCATATCTCCATCTGGACGGATTGAAGTTATGCAATCATCGCAAAAAAGTTAGAATTTCGTCATCGTTTTCATGCAAGGCGGTGGGGAATTTCCTCCATGTTTGATGCTCTGCTGACCACAGTCTCAGACCTACAGAGCTTCAAGGCAAGGCAAGGCAAGTTTATTTGTATAGCACAATTCATACACAAGGCAACTCAAAGTGCTGAACAAGATAGCATTAAAATCATAAATAATCACAGAACATTAAAAAGAAAGATAAAAACATAAAATCCTTCAGTTGTATGCACAGCTAAACAGCACTGTTTTTAACCTGGTTTTAAACATTGTCAGAGAGGAGACCTGTCTCACATCTTCAGGAAGATTGTTCCAGATTTTAGCAGCATGAATCTGAAATGCAGCCTCCCCATGTTTAGTTCTGACCAGTCCCTGTGCTCCTCAGAGTCCGGGCTGGTTCATATGGTACTAACATGTCACTAATATATTTTGGTGCGAGGCCATGTAGAGACTTGTACACAAGCAGAGCTGTTTTAAAGTCTATTCTCTGAGCCACAGGAAGCCAGTGCAGAGACCTGAGGACCGGACTAATATGGCCGTACTTCCTGGTTCTAGTCAGGACTCGAGCTGCTGCATTTTGAATGTACTGCAGCTGTTTTACAGCCTGTTTGGACAGACCTGGCCTGAGAGTAATGGTGTGAAAATACACACCTAATATGACTCTACAGCGCAACCTATGGAAGGCTTCTGACCTAAACGTTTCTGATCCTCACCAAAATTGCACAATAAAATCTTAACACTAGTACCTGAAAAATACCACTCTACGGTACATGCACCGTAGAGGGTGCATGTCCCGGACGTGACCACTAGGGGCGCACTTTATCCAATTAATGAGCTTTTATGTACGTAATCCAGGTCTGATCAGACTGCCAATTCGTCGGCCAGTATGCCGCGTGACGCTTGTGGGACTGGCGCCCGGGAGGCGGTCGCAAGAGTGGCGAGGCCTTTCATCGCCGCTTGCGGCTTTAGTAATACTTGCAATGTGATTAAAGATGTGTGTGGTGTAGTTTGCAGACGCCGGAGCCAGACTGGAGTCCAGAGGTGAAGGCCGAAGACCTGCACCTCAACAACAACCACATGCCTGGTGAGAGTGAGTGAGTGAGTGAGTGAGTGAGTGAGTGAGTGAGTGAGTGAGTGAGTGAGTGAGTGAGTGAGTGAGTGAGTGAGTGAGTGAGTGAGTGAGTGAGTGAGTGAGTGAGTGAGTGAAAGAGTGAGTGAAAGAGTGAAAGAGTGAGTGAGTGAGTGAGTGAGTGAGTGAGTGAGTGAGTGAGTGAGTGAGTGAGTGAGTGAAAGAGTGAGTGAGTGAAAGAGTGAAAGAGAGATGTGTCTCATGTGTCCGCAGCACAGACCCTGGCCTTGCTGAGTGGCGACACATGAACTATGACTCCTGGCCATCTGCAGAAGACCACGACCACTGGAGACCGCCCAGAGAAGAGACCACTCAGAGACCACCCAGAGGCCACCGGAGACCACCCAGAGACCACATCAGAGGACCCACAGAGGACCCCCAGAGGACCCACAGAACCACCAGTGCTTTGGATCCACGTCAGCCTGGGCCCGAACCCCCCCGGCCCCTCCTCCACACCGCCCCTGTCAGCCTGGGCCCGAGCCCCCCCCCCGGCCCCTCCTCCACACCGCCCCTGTCCTGGGGGCGATTTGAACAGTTTTTGTAATTGTTATTTTTGGGCCTTGAACAACACTGCCACCTACTGGGGCCACTCAGCCCTGCACAGCTGTCGAGATACAATCAGACGAAGAGGGTTTGGAGCCGGGCAGTTTCAGCACAGAGTGTTTTGTGACGAGCCGTGGAGCTGTGTTTGGATGAATGAAGCGCTCACCTCCAGAGGGGGCTGTGGCACACGCTGCTCTTTCCTTTTTATACTGTTGTAAAAAATATGTTTGAAAATGTTTTTATCCATGTGGATGAGAAACTCGCCGTAGTCCATTATGCTGGTCTCTCTCTCTCTTTGGTCTCTCTGGCCTGTTATGAGCCTCTCTATCTGGTCCCACTCTGGTCTCTCCCTGGTCTCTCTCTGGTCTCTCTCTGGTCCCACTCTGGTCTCTCTCTCTGGTCTCTCTCTGGTCCCACTCTGGTCCCACTCTGGTCTCTCTCTCTGGTCTCTCTCTCTGGTCTCTCTCTGGTCTCTGGGTGCACACAGCGCTGTGTCTTTAGACTTATTTCTTGTCTTCCCTGAGATGAAAACTCGGGTCCAAACAACACGCCAACCTTTCCCCCCATGGCCCGGGTCGACACAGCATTTCAACACGGGTCAGAACACTAGAACTTTGTCCAAAGTGGGTTTTCACACGTCCGCTCCCATTCAATGCCTCTATGTAGCAGGTGCTGGACATGGTCGTATATTTGTGATTGAAAATCTGGCAACCCCCGAAGAGGAGAGGAGGGGTCAGGGGTCGTCAGTGCCTCTCCACAGAGGAGGGGTCAGGGGTCGTCAGTGCCTCTCCACAGAACAGTTCACGCTGCGCATTTCATTCAAACAAAAACTTTATAATCTTTGAATATTTTTTTTACATCTCCAAGTCTGAATGTCTTTGTTACATTTCCATCGTTGGCACCAACGGAAGGAAAGAGCTGGAACTTTAAGGCTCAGTCCGGGACCAGAGTCCCGGACCAGAGGCCAGTCCCGGACCAGAGGCCAGTCCCGGACCAGAGGCCAGTCCCGGACCAGAGGCCAGTCCCGGACCAGAGCCGAGTCCAGAGCAATAAGGCGGACAGCAAACTCACTGTACATATGTAAATGTGTAAAACCTGCTTAATTTATGTACACACAGAATGAGGTGAAAATAGAAGTATAGAATTATATTCATAGTGCTAATATGCAAAGCCTTCATAACCATCAGTTTTTTATCATGTACAAATAAATATTAATGTTCACACAATACGTCTTTTCCTCTTTACTGTTATGACTAAAACATTACAGACCGTTTTTGGTTGTTGGGATTGTTGTGTTTTTATATGTGGATCATTTAAATTTTTTTATTATCTTTTAATTTTACTCTCAAAGCAGTAATTTTGACTGGTCCTGGACTCGTTCTCTCAATTCCATTGGTTTGAACGGAAGCAGTCAAAATGACTGGCTGCTCTGTGTTAAAGTGTTCTGTGGATTAGAACATAAGCTAAAGCTGGACACAATTTACTTTAGTGAGCATTTCTTGGCGTTAGCTTTGAGCCATAACTGGGGCAGACGTGTTGCTAACACCATGCTGTAGTTTCCCCGCGAATGAAGGCTCCTGATTGGTCAATCATTATATGGCTCATCTCTGGATTTACAAAGACAACATCACAATATAAACTCCAGGAGCATAGAAGTAATAAACCATAGATATTTTAAGCCCACATGGTGTGACATTAACTGAACTACAGAAGTTTACTTTTACAAGTTGGAGCAAAACTTCATTCATTAAGCTATCGGATTAGCATTGTTTATTGGTATCATGGATCTATAGGTAAAGAGTCTATGGTATAGAATCTATGGTATACAGTCTATGGTATGAGTATGGTATAGCGTCAATGGCATAGAGTCTATGGTATACAGTCTATGGTATAGAGTCTATGGTATACAGTCTATGGCAGCCATTCCCAAACTCAGTAACACCGAGGCCCCCTTAAAAATCTGACGGGTCTGCGTGGCCCCCCAAAATAATAACCAAGAAGACAACATTAAGAATAGGCTCTTCTGGTTATTTTATTTTGGGGAAATAGCCTCTGCTAAAACATTGTAATACAAAAATGATTACAGTGGATTATTCAAGTCAAATAATGAACACAAATATTTTAATATTACAAACAAAACATTATAAATTTAACATTAAATAATTATATATATATATATATTTTTTTTTATGACCTCCCGCGGCCCCCCTGCAGTACCCTCGCGGCCCACCAGGGGGCCGCGGACCCCAGTTTGGGAGACACTGGTCTATGGTATAGAGCAGGGGTGTCCACACTTGTGACTAAGAGGGCCACTTTAGTTCACCAGACTTGTCCAGGGGCCAGCGAAGCAAATACTCTGTCGATGGGTGGATTGTAGAGCTGTCCAACAAGAATGTCTGTACTGGCTGAAGTTGGCTGGATGACAAACGTGAGCTTGAGTTTATGATCTCAAAGACTGTTGTGTTAGTGAGACAGAGGGCCACAATTGGCCCACGGGCCTTAGTTTGGCCATGCCTGCCCTAACCCTAAATGCTAAACCCTACACCTTAAACCAGGAGTTCCCAAACCTTTTCCTGTGAGGGCCACATAACTTTTCCCTTCTTCGATGAGGGCCGGGTCAGTTTGTAACAGAAAAAGTTACTAACTAATAGTTAATAATGAAAAAAGTTCATAACTAAGGAACTTTTTATTGCAAAAGTCCAACATTATTATCAAATACACACATGAGTGTGTTCACAGTAAAGTGTCAATTAAAATATCTGGACTTTAAAAGGTTATAACTCAAAAACTAAAATTACTATCATAGATTGGAAAAAAAGATTTCAAACACAGACACATTGAAGAGATAGTGTGGATAAAATCAAAAGGAAAGATTGACAAATATATTTTTGGCGACATTTTAAACGACAAAATCAGCCTCTGATTGGACCATACTGTGACGCCAGTTACATAGAAAATAAAATCTCCTCAGTGTGAAAAAGTGGCAGATGAAATCCCATAAGATTAACATGGTTAACTCAACATAAGTTAATCACTTGATTTAAAAAGGAATTGTTAAAAAAAATTAACAAAAAATTAAATGACCCTTGAAAAAGGTGTAACGGACGCGATGGTTTCCGTCCATTTTTCTCTAACAATTAAACTTGAGAAAAAAAAATCTGGTCTGGTTTCACATTTATTTGGTTGACTATATGAAAGTATCACTTTGTTTCTACTCTATGTAAAAAAAACAGAATCTCTTAATCAAATCTAAAAATACGTAACAAACTTCCGCAAAGCTCATTCCGTCAAATCATTACATGTGTTACGTAAAATAAACAGGGCCCCTATGGAAACTTGTCTAATGTATAAAACAGTTATGTTCTAGCAACTTCTAATGGACAGAGAGGGACATAAAATATCTTTGGATTATTTAAATCAAATGTTTGGCCTTTTGTCACACTTTTGTGCCCTTTAGTGTGAACAAGCCCATATATGAAAACACTCTCTGGTATTGTTCAGGGGGGCCGGACCAAATGTAGAGGCCGTAGTTTGGGGACCACTGGTATAGAGTCTATGGCATAGAGTCTATGGTATACAGTCTATGGTATGCAGTCTATACATAGTTCCCACAGACCAATGAATGTCACATGACCTCCTCGGAGACGCCATCTTTGATGGCACGCTGCTGTGTTTGTGCATTCCATTAAACAGAAGAATGAGAATAAATGTAGATATTCAAACGCAAATTGGAAAAAAAAGGGCAACTTTTGAGCAAATAATTGTATATTAATACAATGGCACCACAGTTTAACGTGCTACGGACATGTTTTACATATTTGATCAAATTATGCAGCAAAAATTAACAAGCAATGCAAACATTTCTCAAAGCCTTTTGATTTAATACCAGTTGGAGCTCCATTTAATTATTTTAATTATATTAACAATTAATTTAATTAATGCTAATGCCACACGGACACTCTGGATTGCTGTTATTGTTTATTTCCGCGTTTTTGACCGTATGTTTTGGTGAATGGTGGGCAACTGATTTTTCCAGGCGTAAAGAGCAGTTTATTTTATGACACAGATCTTTTTACAGAAGCAATGCTGTTTGTGAACATTGTTTTAGCCCACCATAGAACTATTATTATCTATTTAATACATTTACGTTGCCCTCGAGAGCCTCGGACGCGACACCGATCCTCCTCATAATAAAGTAATCTAACGCTAAATAATGAAACTCTCAAGTTACCAGATATCAGCATACACAAGTTAGTACTGAGTAAATTACGTCTGTCAACACATTATAAGATACGATACGCACCTGACACAAAGTGCTCCGAGCATATTCTTGCGTGTTTTGAGGGAGTTTCTTGCCTGTTTATCTTCGCAAGCCATAACCTCCGTGGTTGTTCTGACAAAAGCTTAGTCTTCTCACATTCATGAAGTCTAATGATGGGTATACTGTAAAATCCAAGTTTAACGGAACCTCCGGATTTGAACATCCATTGACCCAGCAGGAGATGACTATTTTCAACTTTATCACGACATTAACACCACCAACCTTTTTGAAACCAAGAGCTACTTCTTGGGTACTGATTAATGCGAAGAGCTACCAGTTTGTTACACACTTAAATAAATTGCCAGATATGGCCAATTTGCTCAATTTACCTTTAATTCTATGTTTTTACTAATAATTAATGATATTTATTTTGTGGAAAAACTTTTATATTTTCTCTAAGTGCACATTTTTCAAATTTAACAAATGATCACTTCTAAGACAGTCCCATTTAATCGCAATTAATCACATTTTAATCGCATATGAATATTTGACCTGAGAACAGTGAGAAGTAATTTTTTTCACATGGATTTTTAGTTTACCATTGAATAATGACTGAATACATGAGGCTTAAGCAACACATGTTAATATGGAGTTTAAGGGATAACTTCTAAACATCAAATAACGTTTCTGTCATTGCCTCCACACTCTGACGACAACATATGCTCCTCCTCCTCCTCCTCACACTGACGACAACATACTCTTTTTAAGCCCTAAATCCACTGCACACGCTGTGAGTACTAAAGCTGGGCATGCGCTGTTTGCTAAAGCTTTTATAATACGTTTTTGATGTGTGCATTCGGAGTAAACATCAGCATTAGCAGCTCACACACCTGTGTCTCGCTCCTCCTTCTCCTTCTCCTCCTCCTCCACTCACACAGGAGTCACTGCTCCTCCTCCTCACGCACAGAGTCCATCGCTCCATACACAGCGCTCATTCCCGTCTAATTTACTCGAATTTAAAGTTGGTCTCTGCTTGTAATAATGTACTTTTGAACAAGAAAAGTCACGGAGCTCCGGTTGGTGCGTCAGTTCAATTGGTCCGTCTGAAACTTATTCAGTGAGGAACGTTCCGCGGTGCAAAAATACATAAGATTAAAATGCGTAATTTTTTTAACGCGCTTTTTTGTGTGTAATTAATTAATCTTTATTAACTTGTTAAAGTCCCGGCTCTAGTTTATATGCCATTTGTAAGTTTCATGTAAGTATGATTTAAACAAGAATAGCACTGGTAAGTGCTGCCATTTGAGCTATTTTTAGAACAGGCCAGCGGGCGACTCATCTGGTCCTTGCGGGCGACCTGGTGCCCGCGGGCACCGCGTTGGTGACCCCTGGTATACAGTCTATGGATGTAATCAACGTAAGACAGATACAGTAATAATAATATTAAGAACCATAGTGTACCTAACAATGTTATAACTAACTAAATACATTCGTAAGTTTAAACTCTTACTATTCCACTTTGGTAGTATTGAAATACGAATGTTGAAACATTGTCATGAGAGAGACCAGAGAGAGAAAGAGTAACAACAAAACTGTGATATTGAAATCCTGTTCCACACACGATCTTTGCGTCGGTGTCGTGACGTCACGCTGTGTTTGTCCCGCACGAGGCCCGAGAGAAAGAGGCTCCACACACAGACCCTGACCAGTCCACTGCAGTCCACTCCTCACCCGGGATCTGCTCCTCATCATGCCGCAGGTGGACGCCAAAAGCCCGTACGACAGCCCCGACGCCCCGGAGGCTCTGGAGGCCGCCCGACGAGCCTCTCACACCGCGGAAGAGGAGCCTCCAGGAGCCGGCGTGGACCCGAGCAGAGGTGGGGGCCAAGCGGGGAAACATTTACCACCGCCAGAGCCTGTCCGGGGGGTTTCTCTGTTCGAGGGCTACAGGAATTACAATCCGTGTTTTAGACCTGGAAATGTGGGTTTTTGAGGTCTGTGAGGTCTGTGAGGCCAACTTTGGTCGGTCTGATTTATTCACAACAAAAAAGACAGGACTGTTTCGACCACAGACTGTTTCGACCACAGACCGATCACAGACAAATACAACAGTTCGACTTTCACATAAATGTTTATTTTCATCACAAACTTTATTCTACATTTCAATCCTCAGTCTAGGACCTTTAGACCGTGTTCCATTGTTTTGGTCCTCCGCGTGGTAACAGCACAGAGACCAGAGAGAGAGAGACCAGAGAGGGAAAGAGAGACTTGTGTTTATGTGAACAGAGACTCGTGTGTATGTGAACAGAGAGAGAGACTTGTGTTTATGTGAACAGAGAGACTCATGTTTATGTGAACAGAGAGAGACTCGTGTTTATGTGAACAGAGAGAGAGACTTGTGTTTATGTGAACAGAGAGAGACTTGTGTTGTTGTGAACAGAGAGAGACTCGTGTTTATGTGAACAGAGAGAGAGACTCGTGTTTATGTGAACAGAGAGAGAGACTCGTGTTTATGTGAACAGAGAGAGACTTGTGTTTATGTGAACAGAGAGAGAGAGACTTGTGTTTATGTGAACAGATGTGGTCAATGTTTATGAATTATTATTTTGACTTAATCGAGTTGTGTCTCACCTGTGTGTGTAAGTTGTCGTGTCTCACCTGTGTTGTGTTACAGATGTTGTCTCACCTGTGTTGTTACAGTTGTCGTGTCTCACCTGTGTTGTGTTACAGTTGTCGTGTCTCACCTGTGTTGTGTTACAGTTGTCGTGTCTCACCTGTGTTGTGTTACAGTTGTCATGTCTCACCTGTGTTGTGTTACAGTTGTTGTGTCTCACCTGCGTTGTGCGACAGTTGTTGTGTCTCACCTGTGTGTGTTACAGTTGTCGTGTCTCACCTGTGTGTGTTACAGTTGTCGTGTCTCACTCACCTGTGTGTGTTACAGTTGTCGTGTCTCACCTGTGTTGTGTTACAGTTGTCATGTCTCACCTGTGTTGTGTTACAGTTGTTGTGTCTCACCTGCGTTGTGCGACAGTTGTCGTGTCTCACCTGTGTGTGTTACAGTTGTCGTGTCTTACCTGTGTGTGTTACAGTTGTCGTGTCTCACCTGTGTGTGTTACAGTTGTCGTGTCTCACCTGTGTGTGTTACAGTTGTCGTGTCTCACCTGTGTGTGTTACAGTTGTCGTGTCTCACCTGTGTGTGTTACAGTTGTCGTGTCTCACCTGTGTGTGTTACAGTTGTCGTGTCTCACCTGTGTGTGTTACAGTTGTCGTGTCTCACTCACCTGTGTGTGTTACAGTTGTCGTGTCTCACCTGTGTGTGTTACAGTTGTCGTGTCTCACCTGTGTGTGTTACAGTTGTCGTGTCTCACCTGTGTGCGTTACAGTTGTCGTGTCTCACCTGTGTGCGTTACAGTTGTCGTGTCTCACCTGTGTGTGTTACAGTTGTCGTGTCTCACCTGTGTGCGTTACAGTTGTCGTGTCTCACCTGTGTGTGTTACAGTTGTCGTGTCTCACCTGTGTGTGTAAAGCCTAGCGTACATCGACAGAGAAACTGGAGACAACTAGTTGCAAGGCGGCTTTTGGCAACTGAGAGGAGATGGTGGGAGATGATCAGTTGCCGAAATCGGTCGATGTGCGCGCTCTTACAACTGGAGATGAACAGTCGGTCTCCAGTTTCAGTCAGTTGCCCGTGTTCTACTTTTCGGCAACTAGTTGTCCTCAGTTTCAGAGATATGACCCGATGTGCGCGCTCCATGCGCCGCTCCGACAACGTGTGTGTATTGCGTGTATTGCGAGCCCGCAACAGTTTATGTCAGAAAACACACTGTAGTTGAGGCCAGTTGCTGTCGATGTACGCGCTGTTATTCCCGAGACTGGTCTGCTACTGGGAGTTGCCCATTTTCGTCAGATTGTCGATGTGTGCGGGGCAGCAACTCATATGCAACGGATATAATCAGTTGCCAGTCCGATGTACGCTAAGCTTTACAGTTGTCGTGTCTCACCTGTGTGTGTTAGTTGTCGTGTCTCACCTGTGTGTGTTACAGTGGAGCAGAGCGCCGCCGTTGCTGACGCACACTCCAGGAGCCGCCTGTGCGAGGAAGAGGAAAAGGAGGAGGAGGACGAAGGTAAACGACACTGAAGGATCCTGGAACAAAATCATTCAGTTCCATGTTTTTGTGTTTCCCTAAATCCTCGGTGTCACTGTGATCCTCTCTCTCTGGTCTCTCTCTGGTCTCTCTTTGGTCTCTCTCTCTCTAGTCTCTCTCTAGTCTCTCTCTCTGGTCTCTCTCTTTGGTCTCTCTCTAGTCTCTCTCTCTGGTCTCTCTCTGGTCTCTCTCTGGTTTCTGTCTCTGTTCTCTCTGGTCTCTCTCTCAGGTCTCTCTCTCTGTTCTCGCTGGTCTCTCTCTCTCTAGTCTCTCTCTCTAGTCTCTCTCTAGTCTCTCTCTGGTCTCTAGTCGTCCCTGTGCTCTGCAGACACAGGTCTTAATGGTGTCCCTGTGCTCTGCAGAAACAGGTCTTAATGCTGTCCCTGTGCTCTGCAGACACAGGTCTTAATGCTGTCCCTGTGCTCTGCAGACACAGGTCTTAATGCTGTCCCTGTGCTCTGCAGACACAGGTCTTAATGCTGTGCTCTCTGGTCTCTCTCTAGTCTCTTTCTGGTCTCTCGCTCTGTTCTCTCTGGTCTCTGGTCTCTCTCTCTGGTGTCTCTCTGGTCTCTAGTCTCTCTCTCTGGTTTCTCTCTGGTCTCTCTCTAGTCTCTCTCTCTGGTCTCCTGGTCTCTCCCTGGTCTCTCTCTCTGTTCTCTCTCTAGTCTATATTCTCTCCCTCTGGTCTCTCTCTTTAGACTCTCTCTGGTTTCTCTCTGGTTTCTCTCTGGTCTCTCTGGTCTCTCTCTCTCTGGTCTCTGGTCTTTCTCTCTGGTCCCTGTGCTCCGCAGACACAGGTCTTAACGGTGTCCCTGTGCTCCGCAGACACAGGTCTTAATGCTGTCCCTGTGCTCCGCAGACACAGGTCTTAATGCTGTCCCTGTGCTCCGCAGACACAGGTCTTAATGCTGTCCCTGTGCTCCACAGACACAGGTCTTAATGGTGTCCCTGTGCTACACAGACACAGGTCTTAATGGTGTCCCTGTGCTACACAGACACAGGTCCTAATGCTGTCCCTGTGCTTGTCCCTGTGCTCACAGAGCCTGAGAAGAGCCCGGTGCAGGGGAGCCTGGCCAGCAGCAGTGACTGTCCCCCAGAGGGGTCCCGGGTCCCGCTGCACCCCCAGGGCTCAGGACAGAGGGCTGGGGCCGAGCGCACACAGGCCCCCACCGAGGAGGCCCCAGGACTGCACAGGTCAGAGTGTGGGGTGTGGGGGGGTGGGGGGGGGATGAGGATGAGCCTCCTGATGATGTCACAGTGAATGTCCACAGTAGGCGTTGACTGTGTGCATAACATGCCTCGGCTGTATCTACACAAGCCGTGCACAGGTCCTTCTGATGCTGTCAATCCCCCTGGAGGTCCAGGCCGCCCCTACACCTAACCCTAGCCCCCCTGGAGGACCAGGCTGCCCTTACATCTAACCCTAACCCCCCTGGAGGACCAGGCTGCCCCTACACCTAACCCTAACCCCCCTGGAGGTCCAGGCCCCTCTACACCTAACCCTAACCCCCCTGGAGGACCAGGCCGCTGTATCTACACAGGCCGTGTGCAGGTCCTGATGCTGTCCCTGTGTGGTCTAAGGAGCAGTGTAGGACAGTACAGAGGACAGTACAGAGGACAGTACAGAGGACAGTACAGAGGACGGGTGCAGAGGACGGGTGCAGAGGACGGGTGCAGAGGACGGATGCAGAGGACGGATGCAGAGGACTGATGCAGAGGACGGATGCAGAGGACGGATGCAGAGGACGGATGCAGAGGACGGATGCAGAGGATGGATGCAGAGGATGGATGCAGAGGACGGATGCAGAGGACGGATGCAGAGGACGGATGCAGAGGACGGATGCAGAGGACGGATGCAGAGGACGGATGCAGAGGACGGATGCAGAGGACGGATGCAGAGGACGGATGCAGAGGACGGATGCAGAGGACGGTGGACATTAGCAGTAAAGCACCAAGTTAACCCTTGTATTATGTTAAGGGTCAATTTGACCCATTTCAGTTTTTGTGTTGATCAAAGTACTGGTTATCCTTTATTTTTCTTGCTGAAATTTGGTGACTTTTCCTCATCTAGGGTCATGAACTGGTGTGTAAAATCTGGACACCTTGATGTGTAGTGGAATGTCTGTGCAGAGTTTGTATACAAAGATGATGTTGCGGGTCATTTTGACCCAGACGCTTTAATGTGGGTAAATAGTTGTTCAGATCCAAAAAAACATGTCTCTTTGACATTGTATTTTGATTGCCTCTGAGACCCAGAGCCAGGTGTGTGAAGAGAGGGAACTTTCTCACACTTGTCCTTGTCACTGTTCTCATATCATCTCTTTTGCCTAGCGTACATTGGACTGGTAACTGATTATATCCGTCGCCTTTGAGTTGCTGCCCCGCACACATCGACAATGTGGCGAAAACGGGCAACTCTTAGTAGCAGGCCAGTCTTGGGAATAACAGCGTGTACATCGACAGCAACTGGCCGTCAACTACAGAGTGTTTTCTGACATAAACTGTAGAGGCCGCGCAATACACACATGTTGTTGGAGCGCGCACATCGGGTGATATCTCCGGATCTGAGTAAAACTAGTTGCCGAAAAGTAGAACACGGGCCACTGACTGAATCCGGAGATCGACTGTTTATCTCCAGTTGTAAGAGCGCTCACATCGACCGATTTGAACTGATCATCTCCATCATCTACTCCCAGTTGCCAAAAGCCGCCTTGCAACTAGTTGTCTCCAGTTACTCTGTCAATGTACGCTAGGCTTTAGACAAAGTCGCCAAAAATGAGCTCCAGAAGGATGACGACATCTGAGGAGGCTTTATCACAGATTTTTAACTGGGATAATGAGGTAGAGGAAGAGATTTCAAAAACAGAGGATTTTTCAGAGACAGAGGACAGTGTTATTGCTGATCCAGATTGTCAATTTTCCTACGATAAGGAGGATTCAGAGGACAAATCTTTGGTCAAAGAAGAGGAAGGGAGGAAGAAAGGAAGGTAGGAAGGAAAGAAGGGAGACAGGAAGGAAGGAAGAGAAAAGAAGGGAATATAGAAGGATGAACAGAGAGAAGTAAAACAGGATGAGAAAAAGGAAGGAGAAAGCATGGCAGGAGGAAAGAAGGAGGGAAGAATTGTCATTTTGACCCGAGAGGAGGACAAGAAGATTAGACTAAATAATTCTTAAATATAGTGTTCGAATTAAAAATGTATTGTATGTCACTTTTCTAAATATTTATATAACCTAAAATAAAGTTGTTACTGGTTTAACCTGTTTTCTTGACTGTTTTGAATGCATTTACACAGTACGGGTCAAAATGACCCGCAACATAATCAATGTCATTTTTTTCCAACATAATACAAGGGTTAAAAAGAACAAATCAGAGCAGTTCATCTGTTTAGGCTTTTTAAAGTCACAATCAATATCTCCTCCCTCTCTCTCCTCTCTCCTCCCCCTCTCTTCTCTCCTCTTCCCGCTCTCCCCTCTCCTCCCTCTCCTCTCCCCTCTCCTCCCTCTCCTCTCCCCTCTCCTCTCCTCTCTCCTCCTCCATCTCTCCTCTTCCATCTCTCCTCTTCCTTCTCTCTCTTCCCTCTCTCCTCCCTCTCCTCTCTTCCCCCTCTCCTCTTCCCTCTCTCCTCTTCCCTCTCTCCTCCCTTTCCTCTCTCTTCCCTCTCTCCTCCTCCCATCTTTCCTCCCTCTCCTCTCTCCTCTTCCCTCTTTCCTCTCTCCTCTTCCCTCTCTCCTCTCTCCTCCCTCTCCTCTCTCACCCTGTACCTCCTCTTTCAGCACTCGCCCGGTCTCGGAGCAGAAGAGAGCACCTCCTCTGAGCTACAGCTGCTGCTGGGACCTCTGTGGGCTCCCCTTCCCCTCCAGCCCCGATCTCGCCGACCACATCCGAGACCGCCACGTGGATGCCCAGAGAGGAGGGGTGAGGCCGGGGAGTGGATGGGAGGAGGGGTGTGGCCCGGGGAGGGGAGGGGAGTAGGGGTGAGGCCTGGGGAGAGGAGGGGTGAGGCCCGGGAAGAGGAGGGCCTCACCCCTCCTCCCCTCCCCTCCTCTGCCCAGGCCTGTGTGTGTGTCTCTAACTCTCTCCTCAGCAGACGTTTGTGTGTCTCTGTGTGTGTCTGTGTCTGTGTGTCTCTATCTCTCCTCAGCAGACGTTTGTGTGTCTCTGTGTGTGTCTGTGTCTGTGTGTCTCTGTCTCTCCTCAGCAGAGGTTTGTGTGTCTCTGTGTGTGTCTGTGTGTGTGTGTGTCTCTAACTGTCTCTCCTCCAGCAGATGTTTGTGTGTCTGTGGAAAGGCTGTAAAGTTTACAACACTCCGTCCACAAGTCAGAGCTGGCTACAGAGACACATGCTGAGCCACAGCGGAGACAAGCCCTTTAAGGTGACGCACCCGCACACACACACACACACACACACTCTGGTCTCTCTCGCTGGTCTCTCTCGCTGGTCTCTCTCGCTGGTCTCTCTCGCTGGTCTCTCTCGCTGGTCTTTCTCTGGTCTTCGGCCTACAGATGCTGCAGAGACAACAGGTCCTGGCTCTGGTCCTGATCCCGGTCCTGTTCTGTCTCAGTGCCTGGTGGGAGGATGCACGGCAACCTTCTCGTCCCAGGGCGGCCTGGCTCGGCACGTTCCCACTCACTTCAGCTCCCACAGAGTCCCAGGACCCAGATCCAAGGACGAGTCTCCGTCTAAAGCCGGACTGAAGCGGAGGAAGACCCGGACCCGGCTAAGACGGTCCCTGCGTGAGTCACACACACATACACGTGTACACACACACACATAGACATACACACACACATAGACATACACATACACGTGTACACACACACAGACATACTCATGCACATATACACATGTACACACCAACACACATATACGCACACACTTTGCTGAGGAAGCACCATCCGAGGAGCCAGCTGCACCAGGAGCAGCCATGTATGTGCTATATAAATAAATGGTCTCTCTGCGCAGCGCGGCCTCACGACTTCTTTGACGCTCAGACCATGGACGCCATCCGCCACCGGGCCATCTGCCTCAACCTGGCAACCCACATCGAGAGCCTGGGGAGCGGGCACAGCGTGGTGTTCCACAGCACGGTAAACTTACAGACGGACAACGCTAACGCGCTAGCTCACTGAAGCCTGATAGTGAAGTGCTCATGGACGAAGTTTTGCTCCAGCTCTCTCGTGTGTGTGTGTGCGTGTGAGTATATCAGCTATAACACAAGATTTAAGTGACTAAAGTGTGTGTGTGTGTCAGGTGATCGCACGGAGGAAGGAGGACTCTGGGAAAGTCAAGCTCCTGCTGCACTGGACTCCAGAGGACATGTGTGTGTTCTTCACATTTCTACTGTTTCCACATTTCCATTTGCTAATGTCAGGATCTTCTGTGTGTGTGTCTCTGTGCGTATGTCTCTCTCTCTCTGTGTGTCTCTGTGTGTGTGTGTCTCTCTGTGTGTGTCTCTCTCTGTGTGTCTCTCTGTGTGTGTCTCCTGCAGACTTCCTGATGCGTGGGTGAATGAGAGTGAGCGGCTGCAGCAGAAGACATGTGTGGTGCATCTGTCCAAACTGCCCACAGACACAGCGGTGCTACTGGACCCCAACATCTACAGGTCAGAGACGGTGTGTTGCTCTGGGGAGTGCAGTATGCAGTACCGCGAGCCACCACCAGGAGGCGCCCGGGGCCAGCAGCATCACCCTCCACATACTAACACCAAGCCCCAGCGATCCAAGATGGCGCCCTATTCAAATGAATGGTTGTGCTCAGTGGCGCTTTGTGACGGCATGGGGGCTGAAAGATTAGCGGAAGTTGCCTGAAACTCGCAAAGATCTATGGGAAACTGGCCTGTATTTGGGCATCGTCTGGTCCTCCCAGTTCCGCGCAGTGGATGATCTCCCATAATGCGTTGCGCCAAACACGCGTGTGTGGGTCTCACACCGGGTCTCACGCACGTGCACAGAGGGGCTCGGCCGCGCTCTGACCAATCAGAGCAGTTTATCAGAGCGGGAGTTAGAGCGAGAGCCAGACGAGCAGAGTTTGTGGCACTAAAGTGTGGATTTAAACAAAACCGAAGGATTTAAGAAGAAAAAAAGTTCAGGATGACAAGGGACACTAAAATCCCCACAAAATCCGATTTTTATGATAGCTGTAGGTTCTCTGTCAGCTGAGGTTGAGCTGTTTTAATATGCATTGAGTTCTATGGGGAAAATTTCTGGGTAGCCCACGTGAATTTAGTCTGGTTCAGTCTGCAGTACCGCGAGAATCCCCTGAGCACATGGGTTATTCAGCTACAAGCTAGTAATACCCTATCCAGTTAATATAATAGATCCATGACTAACACAGAACTTTGTGTGGTTACAGGATGTTCTTCTGAAGTGCGCCCCCTGCTGTCCACCTGAAGCTGCTGTGATCTGTGAAACTGCTGTACATACTCCCGTCTTTAATATATTTTTCTACTTTTGTATTTCACTCTGATGTAGATAGTTTTTTTTCTAAGTATAGGCTTCGTATAGGCCTCTGAGCTGGACTTGTTTTGTGAAAGTCATTAAAGACTTGAGCCAGAGTTCTGTGTGGATTCTTGTCTGTTATAAAACATTTTAGTTTTATGTAAACAACTTCCGTGACCGTGGTCTGAGCATGCGCGACAGCTGAGGACACGCGTTGAGAACGCGTCTCAGAGTATGCCTTAAATAACTACTTTTGAGTCTGTAAATAGTGCCTTTACGTGGAGTGAAACAAAGTGAATTGTATTACGCACGGCGATGTCCCGGAATTTGCGCAATAATCCCAAGATTCACACTAAAAAGGCCGAACAAGCACAGATTGGAGTGAGGCTGGGTGAGGACGACGCATGTGACATGACAGGTGTGCAGGACAAACACGAATTGGCGGATCTGATCCGTTCCATTATGAAAGAGGAGATAAGTGTGGTGGTTAAAGAGTTCAAAACAATCACTGAAGAGATCTCCGCATGCACACGGAGGTTGGATGAAGTTGATAAAACGTTATCTTCAATGGACCAGCGCATGACAAAGTTGGAGGCTGAATGCGAGGCAGCGCGTAAAGTCAATGCGGAGCTCCTGGACAAAACGGAGCGCCTGGAAATGCACAGTCGAAAGCAGAATGTACGTGTGTTTGGACTGACGAAAGATATTGAGAAAGGTAACCCGACTGATTATATAAGCGGGTTGTTTAAAGAACTCTTTCAAGGCAAAATACAGTCGGAACCAGAAGTGGATGTGGCGCACCGGGTCGGGCCAGTGGGGAGAGCCACAGAAAGAGCAATGATTGTGCGCCTTCAGAAGAGGACAACGAGAGAGGAGATCTTAAAGGCCGCTAAAAAGGAAAAGGTGTTAAATATTCGCGGGATGACCTGACCGCAGAGATGGCCAAGAAACGAACCAGCTTTTGGGAGACACGGTCCAAACTGAGAGATGCCGGAGTGAGGCACGCGATCATTCATCCAGAAACGCTGATCATTAATAATTACCTAATGTAACTTAAGTTCTACGAATAGGTGCGTAGTCCCTTAGGACTTCGCTAGTGGGATATCACTCGTGACCCCCAGGTCACACGCCAGAGAGATCAAAATAATTTGCTCCAATCACCAGCCACCCTCCTCTATAAAGGCCCCTGCACAAGGCCGCACCCCCTCTTGAACTCTGCCAAGCCGGGCTGGCCTGATGGGCTCGTAGCTAAGGGACTACGCACCTATTCGTAGAACTTAAGTTACATTAGGTAACTATTAATTCTACGTCATGGTGCTACGTCCCTTAGGACTTCGCTAGTGGGACACAACGCGGAGGCCGTAGGAACATGTACTCCCAGTAGGCCAGCGAAGGGTGATTGGAGCTCCGCCCGAGCAAGAGTGCAAGAGCACAGTGAGAGGACTCAGGGCAGAAGAACAAATGCGTGTTACCGGGCCACTCCTACCAAGGATACCCCCACGTAACACAAACCGTAGGTCACCCGTAGTCCGAGGACGCCTGTCCCAAGGGCTCCCGACGTGGACTACCGACCGACCAAACACACATATAAGTACCGCACTTGTAGGACGCCTCTCCCAAGAGCTCCTGAACCAGGGCGGAAAGTCAACCGAAGGCCCCCTCAGAGGAGGGACCTAACGGTCTAACTCAGTCCGCTGCACTCAGCACGGAATGGGCCACCGACCGGTCCGACACATCCAAAGATAAGACCGGACGAAAGAAGAGGACGACGCCCAAGAAGCCGCACGGCAGACGTCCTTGACCGACGCCCCCCTCAGAAGGGCCGTAGAGGCCGCCATCCCACGCGTGGAATGCGACCTGAAGCCCACCGGGGGGGCCAGACCCTGCGTCTGATACGCCCGCCGCACCGCCGTGGCGACCCAGTGCGCCAGCCGCTGAGCCGACAGCGGGGCACCCCTGTTCTTGGGGCCCAGACACACAAACAGCTGACCACCCAACCTGAATGACGACGTCATGGCCAGGTAATGCCTCAGCATTCTGACAGGACACAGAAGGTGCCACCGCTCCTCCTCGGGGGAGGCATGCGGTGGCGGATAGAAAGCCCTTCTCCTGATGACTCTCGACCTAAGGCCGACGTGATGACCTTGGGGAGAAAGGCCGGAAGGGCCACAATTCCACCATGCCGTCGCCCTCTCCAAAGGACAGGCAAGACGCATGGACAGAGAGCGCACACAAGTCGCCCGCCCTCTTAGCAGACGCCAACGCCAGCAAGAGGGCCGTCTTAAAAGCGACACACTCGGGACTCGTCTCCGCCGCCGGTTCAAAAGGCGGACCCGACAGCCTCCTAAGGACCACCCTGAGGTCCCAAACCGGGGGCGTTCTCTGGAGCGGGGGCCTCCTCCTGCGCGCCCCCCGCAGAAAACGTTTAACCAACGGATGAGAGCGGGCTGTGAACCCCCCGAATCCGTCGTGACCCGAGGTAATGGCTGCCGCGAACACCGCCAAGGTGGCGACAGCCCTCCCTTTGTCAAAAAGCTCCTGTAGGAATCCCAGGACCCCCTCCAGCGGGCAACGCCTGGGGTCCCAGGAACGAGAACCGCACCAGTCGCTGAAGAGCCTCCACCTCGTGGCGTAGGCCCTCACAGTGGACCGCGCCCTCGCTCCCTGAATGGTCTCCACCACCGCAGGGGGAAGACCCAGGTCTACGAGGTTCCGCCTCTCAGCCTCCAAACCCAGAGCCTGCGGCCGATTATCGGGCGTGAAAACAGGGCTCCCCCCCCCCTGGACTAGAGCCCCCGGCTCGTCCGGGAGGGCCCAGGGCTCCATCACCGCCATGCCCCTCAGGAAGGGGAACCACCGGGCATGCTGACTGTCCGGAGCCACCAGGATCACCGACCTCCTCTCCTGTTCGATCCTCCGCAGGAGGACCGGCAGGAGACGCACTGGTGGGAAAGCGTACAGCAGGCCCTCTGGCCAGGGGTAATGAGCCAGAGCGTCCACGCCTAGGGGCGGCTCGTCCGCGGCCCTTAAGGCGAACCAGGACGGGCACTGTGCGTTTTCTGCACTGGCGAAAAGGCTGACCACTGGACGGCCGAACCTCCGCCAGATCTCCGCAGCTTCCCGTGGGGCCAGGCCCCACTCGTCCTGGAGTGGGCCCCCCCCTGGACATCCTGTCGGCCCCCACGTTCCGGACCCCCGGGACGTGGCGCGCCCTGAGAGACAGGAGGTGAAGCGCCGCCCACAGCAGCGTCACCGTCGCCATGCGATGGAGAGCGGGGGACCTGGTGCCCCCCTGCCTGTTCAGATAGGGGACCACTGTGGTGTTGTCTGAGCGCACCATCACGTGTCTCCCCTGCAGCTGAGAAGCAAAGTGCAGCAGTACCCTGTGCACTGCCTCCATCTCCAGTAGGTTGATGTGACGGGCTGAGTCCGACCAGCAGCCTCCTACAGAGCTCTGGCCAAGGACCCCGCCCCATCCTTCGAGTGACGCGTCCGTGAACACCTCTGGGGCCTGCCAGAACGTCCCTGGCCAGACGGGTAGTGTTCATCCGTCTGTCCACGGACAATGCAGCACGGAATGTCACAGAGTCTAGCTGCAGGCCGAGACAAATCATGCGTTGAGCGGGCTGCAGCTTGCTTTCCTCCCTGTTTACCACAAAGCCCAGACGCTGTATGTGGGACAGGGCCCAGTGCGTATGACTCACGGCTACTTCCCTGGATGAGGCCAGAATTAACCCGTCGTCTATATAGGTTAAAATTCTTACCCCTGCGCGTCTGAGCGGCTCCAGTGCTGCCTCCACGCACTTGGAAAAAGTGCGAGGCGCGAGTGCGTAGCCGAAGGGGAGACGGCAGTACTCGTAATTCCTCACTCCCACTGCAAAGTGCGGAAACCTCCTGTGTTCCGGCACTATCAGCACGTGGAAGTAAGCATCTGTCAGGTCTATGGAGGACATCCAATCTCCCTGCCTGACACACTCGAGGAGCTGCTTTGTGGACAGCATCCGAAACTGCCGTTTGGAAATGCACTCGTTCAAAACGCGCAGATCCAAAATGGGACGCACCCCGCCTGACTTCTTTGGCACTAAGAAGTAAGGGGAGTACAGCCCCCTGGTGGCGTCCTGCGGGTCTACATCCACTGCTGCGCCTCGACTCAGCAGGGAGGAGACCTCCGCTTGCAGTGCCTCTAATGATCCCCGTACCTGAGAGCGTGCTGCCCGTACGCCTCGGAATGGTGATGGCTTCCGGGAGAATTGCAGTGCGTAACCCCTGCGCAATGTTTTCTCCAGCCATAGATCTGTCAGCAACCTTGCTCCCTCCAGATGCTGTAGAAGTCTGTGAGGGGCGGAATGGGAGCTGGAACACGAGACGTCACGGCCCCGCCCTCTCTTGGTGTTCCTAGCAGGGAGGGGGGGTGGACGAAAGGGCCGGGGGGCCCCCTGCGTCACACCGTGAGCGCCGGGGGCGGTCACGTGTCCTGCAGGCCCGACGTCATACGTACGGGACTGCTCATCCCACGTGACTCGGCTGCTGTGCCCCCCCCTGGCTCTTGCCTCATGGAGGGGGGGGGCGAGCCCCTGGAGTGGGAGACCCCGTGTTAGCCTTGTAGCTCAGAGATGCTAGCACGCGTTCGGCCGAAGCACACACATCATTACTCACCAGATCCCTCCGCCTGACCTCTTTCTGGGAGGGCATAGCATGAACCAGAGAACCGGAGCTCGTAGCTCGCGTAGCGCACTGCACACCCTGCTCTGGGGGCTGCAGGCCTAGCGAAGCAACGTTATGTGCTCGGGAAGTAACACAATCAGAATTCACATTATTTGACATGTTACATACCCCCAAATGAGACTCAGAAACGAGTAATGATGAAATGCCGGTCGGCCTTTATTGAAGGAAAACTTTCCACCTCGACCTCCTCTGCCATAGGGAG